TGGGAACCGGAGGAATCGTAAAGCATGCGACTCACCGATCGCTGACTTGCACCACTGCGATCGTTTTACCGGTAGCATCTGAGGCTGCACGTGTGGGAGGCATTGCATCTTAGAGATTGGTTGGCTGATTGATTGATTGATTGATTGACTGCTTGATTGCTTGACTGCTTGGCTGCATTCATCAGATTTGGATGTGGTGGTTTGGCAATGGACCTTCTGTAATCATAAAAGAATCACAACGATTAATTAACTGTATTTATCGATTTGCATTTTGATAACATAAATGTTTTCTAACTTCTACTCGTGTAAACATGTAATAAGCTTTTGATTTTGAAATATACAAACACATAGAGGCATGCAGGAGTCGGTATAAATTTGCAAGCGTTCACAACGTGAAATATTGTAAAATATTTGAAAATGTATGTCAAAACACTTGGGTAATTACTTTAGAAAGCATGTTAGAACGTTTGCAAAAATATACCGGAACACGTAGGTAACTACACATTAAACACCAGTAACAGTTTGTCAAAACATTTAAATAATCATTATATAAAGTACACTAAAACACTTGTAACCGTTTGTAAAAACATTCAAATAATCATTCTATTAAGTATACTACAACACCAGTAATAGTTTATCAAAACACTTAAATAACATAACCATAAAATACACTCAAACACCAGTAACAATTTGTCAAAATATTTAAATAACCATTACATAAAGTACACTAAAGCACTAGTAACACTATGCAAATGCACTTAAATAACCGTTGCATAAAGTACATTCAAACACCAGTATCAATTTGTCAAAATATTTAAATAATAATTGCATAAAATACACTAAAGCACTAGTAACAATATGCCAATACACTCAGAAAACAATTGCATAAAATACATTAAAGCACCAGTAACCATTTGTTAAAACATTAAAATAACCAATGCATAAATTACACTAAAACACCAGTAACAGTTTGTCAAAATATTTAAATAATCATTGCATAAAATACACTAAAGCACCAGTAAAAGTATGTCAAAACACTTAAATAACCGTTGCATAAAGTGCACTAATACCCAGTAACGATTTGTAAAAACACTTAAATAATCACTCCACACAACATATTAAAACAGTAAAAAATTAATAAAACATTTAAATAACCGCACCATAAAACACACTAATATATCCGTATACACGTGCATAATCACTTAAGGAAACACACAGGTAAAGTCACTGACAGTTGTAAAATCACACCATAAAATTTGTTAATACACCCACATAATTAATAAAAAGTATTTATTAAAGCACACTAAACACTAGTATTAATACACTAGGTACATTTATATATCCGTATATGCATGCAGGAAACACACTGATAAAGTCACTGACACTTGTTGAATTACACCATAAAATTTATTAATACACCCGCATATTTATTAAAAAATATTTATTAAAACACACTAAACACTTATTAAAGCACAGTAGGTAATACAGGAACAAGCACAATATCGGTAAAGTGAACCCTTGACTCGTACCGGTAAGTGTTGACAGGTGCGATTCGACCTCCTCGATTTCCAAAATACGACTGAGAGCATTTGACCTCCCTCCAGTGTAAGAGTTATTGGTCGATGACAACAGCCAATTAGACATCATAATAGTCTACCAATAGATCGAATTCGATCTCTTCAAGTGTAAGAGTGATTGGTAGTGTAAACTAACCAATTAGACATCATGTAATCGACCAATAGCGTGCAACCATTCTGATTGGATGTTGTATAATTATTCTAATGTTAATTTTTATATAATTTTATATTTTTTTATTGTTTATTAACAAATTTATTGTTGTAATTATTTAAATTTATTATTTTTTTTTTACTTACTCTTGCAAATATGTAGCAAAATGATTGTTAATTATCGAAGAAACTCGGTATAATGTGCGATCTTTTTTGAACATATAACAGTTTCATATTTTATTTGCGCGCGGTTTTTTAAAAAGTGACGTCATCAACGAAAACAGAACTTAGCGCCATCTCTCCGGCGAACAGGGTGAACTACACGGTTTTGAAACTGCAGTTTCATTAGTTTCTCACGCTGCCACTAGACGGCGCCACGTGTATCGTTTTGAAGTTATCGTTAAATTCGATTTAAAGGGACAGCGGTTTCGAGAGTACAAAGGCGCCAACAGTAGTGTCGCCTCTGGTATACTCTGTGATTTTACTACGTTCTAAATATGTACATAAATATATATATTATATTTGTAGTCAATGAGAGTTTAGTAAAAAGAGTGTACTAAAGTGTGATGATATATTCTTTCTTTTTTAAATTTTGAGAAGCGAATAAATTAGATAATGTGTAATGATAGATCTTGTATAAATATTTTTGTTTTTCTGAATATTTTGCTTGCAAATGACAAATATGTTTTCTATCAGTTTGGTAACATTAGATAGTTATCAATCAACTCCGATACCAGAATTGGATGTAACATTTTCAGAATTTCGTGGAACAGAAATTAAATATGTTCCTGTTGTCAGAATATTTGGATCCACTCCTTCCGGTATATTATAATTTTCATATATAAAATTTATTAATGACGCTGTAGTTATCCATCCACTGTGACAATGCCATATATCATTATTTGTTAATTGTACTTGTTCTATATTATACATAGGAACAAAAACATGTTTGCACATACATGGTGTGTTCCCGTATATATATATCCCATGTATAATAAATAATAATGTGGACAGCTTTATGTACAAATTAGCTGCAGCAATAGATTCTGGAATCAATGTGTCTTTGGGATCTGCAGTATCCAATACTCAACATGTTTACAAAATTCAACGAATTTCTGGAATGTAAGAGAATATTACATATTTTATGATACACATTAATGTACATTAACATATCTGATTAAATAAAATATTTGTTTCAGACCTCTTTATGGTTACCATGAGAAAGAACATTTATTTTTTAAGATTTATTTTTATAATCCTGCAATGATTAAGCGAGCAGCTGACCTGCTACAAGTAAATAGCATTTACACTTATAATTACTTTTCTCTCCTTAAAAAGCATACAGATAATGGTCAATGTTTTCTTTTAGAATGGCACAATACTTAATCAAAGTTTTCAACCACATGAAGCTCATATTCCTTTTATTTTACAATTTATGATAGATTACAATCTTTATGGCATGAGTTTAATAAACTTAAAACATGTTAAATTTAGACATTCTATGCATACCGAATCTAAAGAGAGTGAGAGCTTCTTGAGTTTGTCTGATTCACAAAAATACCTTCCTGTATCAGTCATGAGGCAGAGTACTTGTACATTAGAAGTAGATGCACAGTCAACTGAAATACTCAATAGAGAAGATCTCCAAAATGGTTTTGATTTGAATCCTGGTATTGCAGCAATTTGGAATGAAGAAAAATGTAGAAGAGATGCAAAAGGCTTACAAAATGCTGAATCACAGATGTTATATTCCAATAGTGATAACAGAATGTATGATTTAACAGACAATGATATATATCAAGAAGAAAAGTTGTTACAAAGACTACAATTTATTTCAGAGGTATGATGTTTATATTTATTTTTACAGAAATACAAGTTCATTTTAATTTATTTTTTATGCCCAGACCACTGACAGTGTTACTTCTATAACACCAAAATCACTCAGTTATCCTTTGGAAGTAGAAAATGAACACAACTTATTTAATGCTTCAGATATTTTGAATCACTTTAAACCACTGATATCAAATAAGCAAAATAAGGAAGAGACAGTTTTAAATAATGAATTTTTTAAATTTGAGCAGTCTGTGGTTGAAGAATCTCAGGATAAGAATACAGAAAGTAGTATTTGTAAGTAATTTATTAGTTTTATCTTCTAGAATTGTCACATTTTACTAAAATTTTTTAATATTTCATGTATAGTGGATTCAGAAGATATGCATTTAGTGAACATATTAGCTAATTTAGCAGAAGCAAATGAGGAAGAAAAGATTGTAGATAATGACAGTATGCTAGGCTCTCAGTTTTCTAATCTTAATGACGAGATTAAAGAAAATGAAGATGATGATGATGAAATCGACAATTTAAATATCACAAGTTTAGACTTAAATAGCCTTAGTTCATGGAATTCAGTTACTGAACCTCCCAATCAACTAAATGTTGAAGAACAAACAGGAGAACAACAGCAGGAATGTTCTTCATCATTGGAAATTCCACAATACGATGGTTTAAGTGACCATTCATTAAAAGTTGAAAAGCAATTCTCACGAAAAACTGTTAACAAGAACCATTCATATAAAGATACACTGATGTTAACATATTTTAAACTTTGGCAAAAACAAACTCGTGAATCGAAGAAGAAACGAACGAAAACAATGCAAACTTTTAAACAAGGATTATCATTTTATGGAAATACTTTAAATAAATACAAATTAGATCATCAAGATTTAGATGTCTATGACATAGATGAAATTGAATTATCATTAACTGGTGTAAAAGATGAAGTATGTTCTCGTGAAACTGGATTTAATCGAATTAATCATAATGAGCCTCATTTTATGACTAATAGTAGTGCAGGTAAATTAAAGATACCTGCATTAGACGGTAACGTTGATAGCTCTGGCGACTCTGACATAGATCCAGATGTTACTATTGAGAGGCAAGAGAAACGAATTTGTGTCTATAAATCGAATACAAAATCCAAAAATGAAACTAATGTTCCTCGTTCATTGAAAAAACGGAAATTAGAATTTCAAGACTTAGATTCAGATGTTTCTCATAAACGACGCAATGTTAACTTAGTTTCCTTGCAAAATGAATCACCTTCTACGCCAAAAAAAACGAAAATGTCGCAAAGTGCATATTCGTTGTCGAAAAAATATTCTCCACTCAATGTAAAAATAATATCTCCTAGACACAATAGAAGTATTAGAAAGAATGACAATATATTAAATCAACCTAGTACTTCAAAATCCACTTATAATAGTCCAATACAGAAACAAACAACAGAAAGTAAGCATTTATATCTAAATTCTTTTTCGTCGTTAACAAAATATATCATTATTTTTTATCCTTTAGGACATATCACACATGGTGAAAGTGGGAAGATTAGTCGAGTATGCCTTCTTGATAAATTCAATGATAGGTAAGTAATAATATATTTTTGTTTTGCAAAAGTAAAATTATCATTTACAGTTTGTGCACTTTCAATGTTTACAGTACACATATAAATAAAGGAGTTGTTGATTCGGAAACAAATCATTGCAGCGATATGTTGAAAACAAAACCTTTAACACGTGTTACTCCCAAAAGTAACAGAGAGGTTCGTAAAAAATTAGATTTCACGAATGAAAAAGAAGTTGATTGTACAAAGAACGATATTGAAGAATGTTATGCTAAAAATTCTTCTTCAACAGAAGCAGTAGCAAATGTGTTACATGAAAATGGTGATCCTCTTAATATATCTGAAATTAATCCCATTGAAACGTATACAGTACAGGATGGGAAAGTTAGCAATGAGTGTATTGAACCAGATATAATAAAACAAAGTATAAATACTTATGAAGACGATATTCAAGATAAAACAGTACACATAAATGAAAATAATGAAGATGAAGAAGATTTTTGTAATATGACATATACACAGTACCTTAACAGTAAATTAGAAATTGAATTAAACACTCCAACTTTATTGTCATTAGAAAGTACAAGTGATGCTACCAAAAAGAGTCTAGTTACTATTACCACTAAATTTAATCCACCAAGCAAAGAAAGAATTATAAATAGTATGAAAATGTATGGTCTCGCAAAGGTGAAATCTGATACCTTATTTTTTAGTAATAAAGTTGACCTTATAAAGCAGAAAGAACATTCAAATAAAATTACCGATATAGTTCCATTTAAATGTTGCTTAGATAATGTTACAGGTATTAGAATCTGGCGCAGAGTGAAAATAAATGAATTTTATCCTTCTGGTGCAAACATAAAATCTTGTGATATTAAAAGAGTTCTTGCAGGATATAATTCATTAATTATTCAGCCTCTTATTCGTCCACCGACGCCAAAAAATGTTAAAACTTGGTTGCAAGCTAAAAAATATTTATTAAGACAGGATAACAAAAATAAAGAAATGAAGAACAAGACAAATGATACGACAGAGAACGTAGTTAATAAATCATCTGTTGATGATGAAAAGAAAAGTTCACAAAATTCTAACAATTCTCAACACTTAAGTGGACTTAACATTAATGTTAATTCTTCTTTACGAAAAATGCTTGAAAATCCATTATTATATAAAAACAATGATAGTCAGCAATATTTAGGTATTTCATTCGGACAAATAGACTATAGCATGAAAGGACACAGTGGTAATGTTGAAGATGAAAATCTTCAACATGCTCGAGGCCTAACTATGGTTAGTTAATTATTTCATATAAAAATCTGACTATAAAATCCCAGGTTCTTCTATATTAATTATTTCAGCACCAATGTTTAACAATACTCTCAGTGGAAGTGCATGTTAATACACAGGGTAAACTGCTGCCTAATCCAGAACATAATGCAATCGAAGCAATTTTTTATGCCGTTTATGCTGACGTTCCATCATCTCAAGTGGACCGGATAGACCATGGTATGCATAAAAATATCATCTTTATCATTTAATATTAATAGTCAAATATAAATGAAAATTATTTCAGGAGCCATTCTTGTAAATTCGTCAATACAAAATGAAAAAGTGAAAAACATTCATACAACTAGTAATATGTGTGCCATATCATATGTATCAAATGAAGAGAATTTATTGAACAGTCTTATAAAATTAATCAGATATTGTGACCCGGATATTTTAATTGGTTGGGAAATAGAATCTGCCTCATGGGGCTATATTTTCCAGAGGGCTGCTCATATTGGCTTTAATAGTTTCATGTGGCAAATTTCAAGAATTTCAAATGTTACTTCAGCATCTAAAGGACAAATGTTGGATAAAGACACTTTAAGCGATATAAAGGTACCGGGACGAATTGTCTTAGATGTTTGGAGAATAATGCGACATGAAATCGGTAAGTTACACATTCTAAAAGTCAAGCATAATTTAAAAGATTTGATATGCATTTTACAGCATTACTAAATTATACATTTGAAAATGTTATGTATAATGTTATGCGTGAAAGAGTCCCTTGCCCTTCCTTTCAGACTTTAAGCCATTGGTGGAAGCATAACAGCATAACAATACAATGGAGAGTCATAACACATTATGTTATAAGAGTTGTGGGTACAATAAGAATACTAATACATCTGGATATCATTGGTTCGTATGTTACTTACATTTTTATATTGTTGTCAAGCGATATATTATGTTTTACTTGATTAAAACATTATAGGAAAAACGTGCGAACATGCGCGACTTATTGGAATACAGTTTTATGAAATTTTTTCACGAGGCTCTCAATTTCGAGTTGAGTCTATGATGTTGAGACTTGCGAAGCCATTAAATTATATTGCAGTTTCACCATCTATACAACAAAAAGCTAATATGAGGGCACCACAAGCTTTACCACTTATTATGGAACCACAATCTATATTTTATACTGACCCATTAATCGTTCTTGATTTTCAAAGTTTGTACCCAAGCATTATAATTGCTTATAATTACTGCTTTTCTACATGTTTGGGTCGTGTAGAGCATATTGGCCTGTAAGACATAGTATTAGTATTGTTATATCTCTTTAAAAATATGGTACATACTTATAATTGTCTTCGTATCTTTTCCAGTAATGAACCATTTGAATTTGGTGCAACAACATTAAGGATAAAAAAAAGTACTGTTACAAAATTACAAGGAAAAATAAATTTTTCACCGTGCGGTGTAGCTTTCGTAAAACCAGAAGTAAGACTGGGAATATTGCCACGTATGCTTACAGAAATTTTAAATACTCGGCTAATGGTAAAAGCATCTATGAAACTTCATGGAAACGAAAATCAAGCATTACAACGTGTTCTTCACTCACAACAATTAGGTCTTAAGTTAATTGCAAACGTTACTTATGGTTATACAGCTGCTAACTTTAGCGGAAGAATGCCCTGTATTGAAGTATGTTTGATATCTATAATACACTTATTTAACAAATAGTAAATAAAAAATAATATTTACAATTATTTAAGATAGGTGACAGTGTTGTTAGTAAAGGAAGAGAAACACTGGAACGAGCAATTAAAATAGTAGAATCCACACCCAAATGGGGAGCTCAAGTTGTTTATGGAGACACAGATTCACTATTTATTCTTTTACCAGGAAGATCTAGAGAAGATGCCTTCGATATTGGAGCTGAAATTGCTGATACCGTTACTGCTGCTAATCCTCCTCCTGTAAAACTGAAATTTGAAAAAGTTTTACAACCATCCATATTACAAGTAATATTTTATTAATCATTAATAAGCAACATTAATTATGTAATATTCTAAAATATTTTTTAATGTTTAGACCAAGAAAAGATATTGTGGTTACATGTATGAGTATCTTGAGCAAGATAAACCTGAATATTTAGCCAAAGGCATTGAAACTGTTCGTAGGGACGGTTGTCCAGCCGTAGCTAAAGTAAGTAATATAAATTAATAAAAATGACAAACAAAATAAATATTTAATAAAAATGTTTTAAAATTTTAGATACTTGAAAAATCATTAAAAATTTTATTCGATACAAAGGATATTTCCTTAGTAAAATTATATGTTACCAGACAATTTGATAAAATTTTACGGCAAAAGATATCGATTCAAGACTTAACTTTTGCAAAGGAATTTCGTGGCTTGCGCGGGTACAAAACCAGTGCCTGTGTACCCGCATTAGAATTAACGCGAAGATTAATGCGTAAAGATCCTCGTGCAATACCTCGCACTGGTGAACGAGTACGATACGTTATAGTAGCTGGTGCACCAAACCAACCACTTATTCAATGTGTGCGAACTCCAATGGAAGTAATTTTGGATGAAGGATTAAGCCCAAATTCAATATATTATATTACAAAAGTTATCATACCACCTCTCAACCGATGTTTCAATTTATTTGGCATTGATGTTAATGCATGGTATAATAGATACTATAAAGTCTCGCTATATGGCCCTAAATATGTCAATACATAAGATTTATATTAATGATTTGTAGGTATAGAGAAATGTCACATCGGCAAACTCCCGATAAAGCAGTCAGCCTGTTTACAGACAATCAAAAACTAACTATTAAACAATTTTTTGGTACCATTGTATGTGCTGTTTGTGGTGATCAAACACAAAAAGATATTTGTACAAATTGTATAGAAAAGCCATATCAAGCTGTTACGATTCTGCATGAAAAGATAAGATGGTTAGAACGTACATATCATGAGCTCAATACGGTAAATGTAAAAATATATATTCTTTATAATTACATTTCAGAATTACTCCAAAATTATCATTAATATTATTTTCTTTTTAGATATGTCAGTCCTGTGTCGGATGTACAGATGAACCGGAGTGTGAATCTTTAGATTGTCCAGTATTATACCGTTTAGCACAATCTCGAAGAGATCTTGTCAAAGTACCCTATTTGAATCAAATTGTTTGTAACATTGATACTATCTATACAGAAAGAAGAAATATATGACAGTGATTTATATTGTTTTTGTTAAATCAATCAAAGTTATATAATTAGATTTTGGGATTGGTTCATTTTACAAAAGAATAGAGTTATCGAAAAATTAACTTTTGTCTTGGCTTCATTTTCTAGGAAATTCAAAGAAAGTGCGCGTAAATATAAATTTTGTAAGAACTTGTACAAGAAAAACTTTATGTTCAACTTTCTAAATTAATTACTTTAAAATAAACCATTGTTTATTTTTTATTATAAAATGAATCAGTTTGCTTTTAATAATTACCTTTATTAGGTATAATGCGTGACAATGCACGAGTGCTTTGAGAGTAGTGGGAAACTCTTTTCCTTAGTCGCCATTTTCCCTAGGAAAGTCAAATTTGCACTTGGCGGCACATGTATAGTTATCTACCCAGTAACTTTTTATTTCGTACTTATACTTTCTATTCTCTCATTTTTATCTTTTTTAAATTTACAAAATATCTTTATATATTTTCCAAATATTTATTTGCGCAGATATATACTGTATTTTATTATTTACATAAATAATTAAATTCGTGTAGTACAAATTGAATTCAGTTATGAAACATTATATTTGGAAATGAAAAAATAAAAACTAACACTACAGTTGTTATACCTGAATATAAAAAGCATTTTAGAATTTATATAATAAAATAATAATATACATATAATTTTTATTGCGGAAGAGCTATTCAATTAACACAGAATATCATTTTAATATATAAATTTATAATGGTTTAGTACACTTTTATTATTTAATTTAGCATAATAATAACATTAATGAGCTAGTTAAAATAAAAAGTAATAATACAATTTTACGTTTACAATTATTTGTGTATAAAGCACTGCGTGAGTGAACTCGGATGTTTCCTTTCCTTTTATCGGAATGATTCATTACTTTATAATGCTTGTCTCTTTTCGATAGGTATCGTGTTATAAATGTACGTTAGTTTTACTTCACATTTTTCTTTTTCAGAACGCATGCAAACGTATGCACCATCTGTGATCCCCACTGATGAGTACGAATGAGTTTCATTTAATAATCTAATTGATCCTTGATATACATTTCAATAGCCACGAACATGTAGCATGCTAAGATTCCAACGTAAGGTAACTGTTTCATTCAATTATTGGCTAAGAAGTGTTCTTATTTCTTTGTGCATGTGACAAAGAAAATCAACGTAACTTGGACTTCCATCGTTTCCTCTGTCTTCGATTAAGAAATGACGCAGTACCATTTCAAGTTTCTCACGCTGTCGCACTATAGTTAACTAAAAAAAAAAAAAACATTAAAAAATTTCAATTAACATGCTTAATTTTTACATATAGAGAATCTAGCAAGATTGTATTGCATTATTCGTTTGCTTACTTACCCTCATACATCGATGTCTTTCCACACGTACACGATTAATAATATCTGTGATTCGTTTATTTAACGGAGTATCTAACACAGGTAACGCGGTACGATCCGTATCAACTTGAACTACTGATGGAACTCCGAATACTGCCTGTACCCATTGTGGTGAGAGTGCCAGGCCTAGCCACAGGAACATGTGGATGCTGTTTTCTAAATTAAAAAAGAGAAAAATGTTAATACAAATTTTTAAAATATCACAAATGTAGTTAAATAAAGTATTTACCTAGTAAGTACGCGCCATCGTCAGTGAATTTGTTAATGGAGCAGCGCAACATTTGGGGTAATTCAGTATCTTGTGGATCAACATTGTGTAAAGGAAGTAGTCTTGGATAGATATATACAACGGATATTGAAATGGGCATAGTTGCAACTGCTTGCATAACAAAAGACCTGTCATCGATAGTCATATCAGCACCTGCAAAATTGCGTTTGTTATTGTTTTCATAGATATAATCGATTATTATGTGAACAAACAGACTGGAAAATAGTTTTACCTCCAGAAATTGCATCGCTTTTTACTAACGAGTTGATATAAAGTGGTAACAATTTTATACATTCTGGTAATATTAATTGACCAACACTGGATGGAGAAGCGCAATGTTTTCGAAATGCAGCTAATGTATTTACACATCTTGTAATTAAGCTGTTCTTAACAGTTTTTGGAGTTGAATCAATTAATTTGAAAACACCTAAAAACCAAAAGTAAAATTTAATTTTTATACTTAAAATATTTAAATTTATTATTGCATAATTGATCTTACTTTGTTTGGATAAGTAGTTAATGATTGCATCTAAGTCGCATGCTCGGTACAATTCAGCCATTTGAGAAGAGGTTTGTAAACTAAAATTAATAATACGTAATCTTCTGATTCCAGCGCATGAAGTATACAACAAAGCTGCTTGAATATATACACCTTCATCGTCTGTCAATTTGTCATCGTGTTTTATTTCTACAGCAATAGCCTAAAATATATAATAATAAAGTATAAATTTATATGCTAGAAATGTGTGTATATCAGATATTTCGCATATTTACCTTATTGCAGTCTATACTAGCTAATTTCATATCTGTTGTATTAGACATAAAAAAATGTCCATAGAAATCAGTTGCACGAACACCAGTAGATGTGCGCACACGCATAATGGCATCGAATGCAATTGGTCTACTAATATTATTAATAACATCGGAAATTAAACGTTCGCCGTCTATGTCAGCCTAAAAATGATATGTAACATGAAAAATATATTTCTTATTTGTACATATTAACATTATAACTTTTGTTACCTGAAAATAGGTATATTTATAAACTTCTCCACCAGTTAATCTGCAAATCTGACCTATTGTTGCAATGTCTACGTATGAATTATTAAAGACGAATAAATCTACAGAACATCCTGCTTCTACACATTCTTGACCCAAGTTATTATAAACGTTATTTTGTGGAGCTAATACAGTTTTTTCCTTCTCTGTACCAAGAACTTTTCGATCATCACGATTTTTCAATTTTCCAGGAGCTTCGGCAATCGGTAAAGATGAATGGAAAACCATTAATTTTCCCGCACAGTCTGATGCCTTAAACATTAAAATTTCAACTTAATAATATTTTAAGTTTTATTATTAAAAATATCATTAAATGCTCAACATACATTTAATGCTTCTAGTCCAGCTTGTATCGCAGGTGCAAGAATAGTTTCCGTTTCGCGAGTATTTGCGAACATCTCTGGTATCTGTGCCATCAGACTATCAATAACCGATTCGCTTTCCTCAACGTCACACAAAAATCCATCAAGAAGCGGCATAAATACATCTTGTACATCTCCGACAACCATCATTTGTGGTTGTGCAAGGCAAGGATTGATATTGTAAAAGTGTACTGTATTATTATATGTTATAAATCCTACTTTCATATTTGTTTTCGTTTGACCAGCATCAGTAGGTAGATGCCGTAAAATTGATTTCATCTGACCGCATAATAGATTGATTAAACCAGATTTAACGGTGTTGTATGATACGTCGATCACGAACACGATAGCTGGTGGTTTTGGAAAAGTATTGTTCTAAAAATGAATGATCCAAAATGTAATTGTCTAGCGAAAGGGACAACTATTAACTATTTACTGTTTTAAACACATGATTTACCTTGCAGTAATATTCAGTAGCAACATATTCGTATGTTCCTAACATTAGTTCTGGCCTCTCATAGCGATCCATGCGTTGACCAGTGTGATCCAAATGTTGAAAGTATTCTGCTGGAACTAAATTAAAAACAAAAAGATAGTAACGGCATTTAGACTTAAAACGTTAAATAAGAATAATTTTTACCTTCTGTTGTTGCTTTGCAGAACATGCACTGAAATCTTCTGCCTGCATCGATGAATTGCATAAATGGACTCATGTATGCTTTACAACGTATACAACGAACTGGTCCAATCTCACCCATATCCACGATAGGTGGTTCATATTCGCCTTCCGCGACACGAGCCATTGGACTTATTATTAGACCAAACGGAATATTTGTCTGCGGCAAAATAATTAATGCACGGATGTTGCGAAATTAAAATCATACCTTGTGTACAAGATATTTAACTTACTTGTTTTATAATATCTGCTGTGGTAGGAACAGTATACATAGTAGATCTTATAAATCTAGGAGACGCATTTCCTTGATCTTGCGTCACAAATTTTGTAGTTACTAATGGTGGAACCAGCCCCTTTTCATTTGTTACGAATACACCACCTCTGACACGTTGATCATCTTGCATTACTTGAATAGGACTTGGCATGTGTTCAGGATCTAATCGTTTAGCTTGTTGCGATTGCATATCCGGTTGGTATCCACCTCCTACACCAGGTGTATCCTGATATGAACCTCTTTGAGCACTATACATATCATTATAGCCTTGATATCCTGTATGTTGGTAGCCTGGCATTGTACCAGCTGCACTACGATTAAGTCCTACAGGATTTCCCATAGTCTGACCATGCATAGGAGATCCAGGAACATATGGTTTCTGACCTGTTTGTGGTAAATTTGCACCAGAATTTATCATTTGTCTCCCTGGTTGACCAACTAATGGAGGTTGTGGACCAGATAAATTTTGTTGTCCTAATAATGGTGGCCTGTTGAAACTTTGTTGATTTGGTAGCAAAGGTGGAGCAGCACTCTGTTGACCTGATACAGGAGGTGGATGTATATTTTGTTGATTCATAGGTGGTAGACCAGGCAAATTAGATGCGGGAATATTTGAGTCTGGATAAGAATGAACGTATTTTTGCTGTTCTTGTAAAGAATATTGTTGTCCTGGTAGAGGTGGCGCTGAGAGTGGAGGACCAGATGAACCTGGTGGTCCTTGGAAGGGTGGGCCTGATAAGTTCTGTTTTAATAATGGTGGGTTTGGTAAGTTGTGTTGTCCAGGTGGTCCTTGCATAGGAGTATTGCTGTGCCCTTCTTGATTTAACAACGGAGGCTTAGATAAGCCTGGCTGTCCTGGCATTGGTGGCTGAGAAAAGTTTTGTTGGCCAGATGAAGATGAATTAGATACATTTTGTTGTCCTTGCATTGGTGGGGGTGCAGACTTTTGTCCCATTGGTGGTCTAGGAAAGTTCATATGTCCAGATGTATCAGTAGCATTCATTTGAGCAGGCTGATGCTGACTGGGAGCAGACAATCCAGTGTTGAACATCTGTTCAGATGATATAGTTTGTCCAGGATAATATTGACCAGAAGTAGGTGCTGTAGAATGTCCTGAAAATGGAAGACTCATGGGCTGTGGCATGGTATTTTTTGAAGTTGTCTTTTGTTGTTGCATATCCTGCCCAGAAATGGGTGGTCCAGATTTTCCACCAGGATCAGTTTGTCCACCTGAGCCTGTTACATTAAAATACATTTGTATACTATTAACAATACCTTCTGTTTAAAATTTTGTATACTTACTAGGTACTGATGTATTTAATGCATTATTAAAACCATTAATATTTGAAGGCGTTGATACCACTGGACTACTTTTTCCAGGTATAGGCAGTGGGGGATAATTTTGCTATACATGATATAATATAAAAATGAATACATTAAATATTGATAAAAATATTATGACTATTATTATTTAATTCAGTTTTAATTACCGATGATGGTGGTCTTTGTTGATCTCCTAGAGACATATTTGTCATTTGATTAACTATATTATTTTGACTTGACAAAGGACTCATCATGTGTGGATTATTTGTTGATGATTCGTACTGAGTATTTTCTGAAAAAATTTTATATTTGTAAACATGTTCTAGTGTAAATAAAATAGAAACAAATCATAATACCTTCTGTTTGTATGTTATTCATATAATATGGAACTTGAGACTGATGTATATTACTTAAAGGGGATCCTTGTATAGGTTTTTGAGAAGCATATGTTTGGGAATTCATGGTGGATCCTTTTAACATATTTGGTGGAACATTAGAATTTACTTCTGGATATGAAGATGTTGTTGGAGGACCAGGAAAATACCCAGATTGTGGTTGGGACTGCTGCTGCTGCTGTTGTTGTTGTAAATACTGCGGATTCATTTTTTATCCTAAATAAAAAACAAAAATTTGATAAAAAAAGCAGAATTTGATAAAAAGTAAGAATCTCAAAGAAATTTATTCTTTTTTAAAAACTGATTGACAGATACATAATAAATTCAAATTCATATATGTATATGTTATATTATATATATATACATATTAGAATATTAATAATCTTTGTAAAAAATAGATGAAATATGTATTTTACGAAATATGTTTTTATTCTATGACTCAGTATCATGCCAAACTGTACTGAATATATTCATTTGTATACAAAAAAATATATAAATCAAAAATAAAAACTTAAAATATGCTGCAAACTGACAGTCAGAAGATAACCTATACAATATCAGCTGTACGATTACCATACATTGTATCACTTTCTAATTGCACATGAAATTAACGCATTAATCACCGAAAGGAATTAATTGTATATGGTAAATTATCATTAAATGTTACTTCAGAATTGTAGAAAAGAATAAGCCATTTTGCATACGGTAACATTAATAATCGTAACCATCGAACCAGAAAATTGGGAAACATTTATTAAACACTAACTACTTACGTTGTAATGTTAAATGTATTTGAACCATAACAAAAGTTAATATTTCCACAAATGTTTACAATAAATGAAGAAAATGTACTTCGCTGCAACAGTGACTGCTGCTGATGCCACGTAAGGTGGCATTGCGCATGCGCTCGGTGCACGCTGGACGAGACACGTCATGATAAAAAATTAGAACGCTGTAAAAGGGAAATTCAAATAAAAACTCGGGCATATTTTGGACCAATATACATTTATTACTGAAAAACAAATTAAAGCAACAATTAAACGTTCGTTAATTCTTAAGCAATCAACAGAATATCTAAGTTTGAGGAAGGAAATGACACTGTGCTTTATTAGTTTTTATTTAGTCAGTTGGTCATCGTGAGTGCGCAAAATTTAAACAGCGTATGTATTTTAAATTTTTAATTGTGTATCATTTGACATTTTCGAATATAAATTATTCACGCATACTGTAAAACAAAGTTTAATATCAGGAAAGATAAATTAGATCGAAAACAATAGTTCGATAGTTACCTGCGTAGTTAGAAAACGATGTAAATGGATCACATAAACGAATTTTATAAGATCAAGAATACCCCATATTAAACTTAGTGCTATATCAACTACATATGCCATGTTGTCGCTTGAAGAGTAAATGATGTTAACGTGTAAACAAATATATATAAGATATATCATCGCTAATATACGAAATCGGAACTCATACGTCTCGTTGACGAGTGATGCCGCTTTGCACAGTTCAAATCGAAGTACTTTTAATAACTTGAATCTAGAAACTAAACTTTAGTGTAAATAACATGTCTTGTGAAATAATACGTAGAAATATTTACTGCAACCATACCGCTATTCACATCGGACGATTCGGAAAAAGAGATATAATTGTTCTCTTTCGTGATGACATTTAAATCCGCATTTATTTCTTTGAATCTAACTTTGATTTTATCGATAATTATACCGAATGAACAGATTATTATAGTATTGACAAAATCGGCTAGATAATCTAACATCCACATAAGAACATACATGTAATCTTTCGAGTAATCTAAGAATCCATAGTAGTTCGTTAAATTGGAAAGTATCACTGTTAATATTGTAGCAGTCGTTTGAATGACATCATTTCTCATGCACGATGAATAATCAATTTTTTTATTGAAGAATTGTATATTCTTATCAACCTTGTCTATTTGTTCAAATACTCGCCTTAATTTCGAAATGTGTCGCGCGCTTAACATGGTTATAATAGGTAATAAAAGTACATTAATGAAATATCGAATTCGTTTGGCTATGATCGTCGGATTTATGCTAAGAGTTTGATACATATTATTTGCATAGCTATTCACTTTGAAAAATAAAACAGAATAAACTACATGCAACAGAATTTGATATATGTAATTTATATATGAATGTTTGGAAGATTTAATGGGATATAAACCTGAAACAAAAAATACAATTTAAAATCAAAATTTGAAATAGTTGCTTTCACTACAATTTTCTAAGTAGGTAATTGCTTATTTACCTAGAAGCTTCATTACGGCTAATAATAACCAAGACTCGTCATACACGTTAGAAGGATGAAATAACTTCATGCCTATTTCTTTTCACGACATTAGAATTACAACTACATAAATTTAAATGGTTTCATAACAAGTTATATTCATGCATTAAATCTGTCAATACTTTCATTTGCGTGTCGAGCAACATTGAATAATTAATTGAATGTTTACTAGATGCAATACGTAATCTGTTGTAACTATGTTTATTTCTATTTTTTACATTAAATATTTATTAACGAATTTGCATAAATAAATTACGTGTTTTCAAGGTTGTTAATATTTATGTCAACAGACGGATTTAATTGTATAATAAGCTTTTGATATATTGCCATTAATAAGTACATTGAAACAGAAAATGCTATAAACTGGCAATATGTTATTCTTAATGTTAAGCGTGTATATTAGGTGATTTTATAATTCGTATACTTTGCTACGTCAACACCTCTTCCCGCCATTCGTATTTATTGTCCACCTTGTACATAGCTGAAGGAGTGGATACATATACAGAAACGAATGAAGTTAGCTGAGATTCGTGATCTGGTACAGTCTAACGTGGAATACATAAATAGACAAATAGTGATTACTAACATATGTGATTATGTACCCATTATATTCTAGAAATAAATACGTTTGCTGGTCAACATTCAATTACATTATCTCTATTTGTTATTTGTTTTAGTATTGCTGTCATCGTAAAAATTCTAAAGAACTGTCACTAACAATGAATGAGCAAGAAACAAGTAATAACAAACGCATTTATTTGTTATTTTAATATAATAAATATTCATACTCATAATGTAATAGAGATTATTTTACAGATCAAAACCTTTCGACCCAAAAGGTTTTGTTGCCTGGCCATGATCCTGGATGGAATGATCCTCCAAAATGGGCATACTCTGGTGCACAAAGTTCTGTGACTCCTACTAAAAGAGTATTGAACAAACGGGTGGCATTTCCATTAGCATCCACAAAAGCTAATGACAAAGAACCTTTATCTGAAACTAAAACATTGAACATGCCACCTCTGGTACAGTCTTCTTCTAATTTACCACCGGCATCAAACAAAGTAGTAGATGTTGACATTAGTGATATAAAAATTGACAAGGAAAAGACATTATCTAATGTCTTGGAAAACTTGGATACTGTGATTAATGAACACATATTGGAAAAAAACAGGGTAGAAGAAGTGAGAAAAAGATTAGATGTATTGAAATCTATGTGGCTTGAAGACAAATTAAATAATGTGATATATAAAAATATTTTAGATTTATCAGCAGGTTAGTTATATATACTAATGTATGAAGCAGATATTTGCTATTTTTAAAGAGCAAAAAGTATAAAAAAAATCATTTTTCCAGCTTTGCGAGAAGGAGATATTCAAAAAGCTGATCAAATACATGTTTCACTAATGATGCAGCATGCTAGCTTATGTAGTTCATGGATACCTGGAATTAGGCATATTATTTTAGAATTGAAAACCAAAACAGATACTTCCAGTGCAATACAATCTTAAGACTCAGAATCATATTAATTTTCTGTGAAAAAAAATAATTGCTATATTCATAAAATGTCATTAATATATTTGTTTGTGCAAATTATTTTATGGTATTAGTATTATCTTTGATTGTGATACAAATTTTATGAAATTAAAAATTTTATTTCTTTTTTGTGCTTTTAAATTTTATTAATTTTGTTAGTAACTAGCACGATTTAATTAAAAATTCAAACTATGATGAAAGTATTAATATCATGAATATAACGAATTTTATTCGAATAAAATAAATGCTATTACATTTATATAGAATTTACTGTAAAATTCTGTGTAACAACGCTTCCTTTATTCTAAGAATTTAATACAATATTAAATTGATATTTAAAGGGTTGTATATTTTCTTTTTTAATTTCTTTTTTGAACATTAGGTGGTGTAGGTTTAATTTTTACATGTGTTGTCATCTAGTGGAAGATGAGAACTAATTAAACTGCAGTTTCAAAAGTGTGTAGTTCACCCTGTTCGCCGGAGAGATGACGCCATTTGTTCCATTTTGCTAAAAATTTAATTAATAATGATTAATATGCTATATATTAATTATATATTTATTAATATCATTTTTATGCTGTTTGCAATATATTCCGTGGATCTGAAGGTGCAAATTATGTGTTCAGAACAGTTTGCAGATTATACTGTATCTCGTCGATGATATAGGAAATGATATAAGAATGACAACAAATTTTATTAATGTAGATAATGTAGAACTTACAATATATACTTACCGTTATATGCTTACTTAATCCACGCGCGTTTAATGACGATTCTTGAAATTCCAAATGGTGCATTTAATGAGAGCACATATTTTCAGTTCATAACATTTTCGCAAAAGAAAATGTCGTTCTAACCGATATAGTAGGAAGTGACATGAGAACGATAACGTACTTTACACCTTCCAGAATTATGCCGTGCAAATGTACACCTTCGGGCAACATAAATTTCCATTGAGTGAAAACTAGTATTTTGGAAAAAACTTTTCCTTGGATATAAGCAATTAAATATGGAAACTTGATGTTTCTCGCGAGTACTGTACATATCATGCGTTATTTCAAATCATTTATTTCGCAAATATACTTCGAATCCTTTTTTACTTCAACAGTTAATATTTACGTTGTATAACAATTAACACTCCTGGTTAGCATCATCGTGGTATCCTTACGTTTAAAAATACATTTGAGATAGTTAATTAAAAATTCTGAGATTACGTAGCACGATAATGTTATGTCAACATGTGAAGATACCATTTTAAAAAGTAGGTGAAGTGTAACGTACGAACGTAAAGCGGTTGGTTTATTACCGCGATCGTAACTACACGATCGTAAATCAAAGTCACAATATTCGTTTGTAAGGTTATTCTGCATACAAGGAGTGATCGAAACCGTTCAAATATTTAAGGGGATTTTTTATCAAATTTGTTACCACCTGTTGTTACGATAATAATCATGCTTCAATTTCTGCCATGCGATTTGCCAGGTGATTGCTGTTTGCCGCGTGGCATGTCCGAACAACGCCATTTGTTCCATTTTGCTAAAAATTTAATTAATAATGATTAATATGCTATATATTAATTATATATTTATTAATATCATTTTTATGCTGTTTGCAATATATTCCGTGGATCTGAAGGTGCAAATTATGTGTTCAGAACAGTTTGCAGATTATACTGTATCTCGTCGATGATATAGGAAATGATATAAGAATGACAACAAATTTTATTAATGTAGATAATGTAGAACTTACAATATATACTTACCGTTATATGCTTACTTAATCCACGCGCGTTTAATGACGATTCTTGAAATTCCAAATGGTGCATTTAATGAGAGCACATATTTTCAGTTCATAACATTTTCGCAAAAGAAAATGTCGTTCTAACCGATATAGTAGGAAGTGACATGAGAACGATAACGTACTTTACACCTTCCAGAATTATGCCGTGCAAATGTACACCTTCGGGCAACATAAATTTCCATTGAGTGAAAACTAGTATTTTGGAAAAAACTTTTCCTTGGATATAAGCAATTAAATATGGAAACTTGATGTTTCTCGCGAGTACTGTACATATCATGCGTTATTTCAAATCATTTATTTCGCAAATATACTTCGAATCCTTTTTTACTTCAACAGTTAATATTTACGTTGTATAACAATTAACACTCCTGGTTAGCATCATCGTGGTATCCTTACGTTTAAAAATACATTTGAGATAGTTAATTAAAAATTCTGAGATTACGTAGCACGATAATGTTATGTCAACATGTGAAGATACCATTTTAAAAAGTAGGTGAAGTGTAACGTACGAACGTAAAGCGGTTGGTTTATTACCGCGATCGTAACTACACGATCGTAAATCAAAGTCACAATATTCGTTTGTAAGGTTATTCTGCATACAAGGAGTGATCGAAACCGTTCAAATATTTAAGGGGATTTTTTATCAAATTTGTTACCACCTGTTGTTACGATAATAATCATGCTTCAATTTCTGCCATGCGATTTGCCAGGTGATTGCTGTTTGCCGCGTGGCATGTCCGAACACACACGAAAATTGCCGATTCGGTGGAACTGAAGCGTCGAAGCGTCAGTTGCATGTCAGACGTCGTTCCGGTCGGACCGTTCTTGTGTTCTTCGATTCGGTGAGTAACTTTACCTCTTTACACGCTTTTCATTTTTCAGTTCTTGTACCTGTTCATGTTTTAACACAGCGTGTTTCAAAAAATTTTAAACTTTAATGTTAGCAGTGTTTGTATGATTGTGTATACATCAATAATGTTACGTTACTTTTACAACTTACAATGCAACTATTTTGAAAACAGACACTTCCTTTATATAAGAACTTTCTGTGGTTATCCATCATTGGCGAACAACAGTACATAACATAGTATCGTGATCTGAATGTCTGCATAAGTTAATTGTTATCTTAACGATAATGTGCACCTATGATCGTATTAGATCATTATACAATTTAGCAAGTATTTAGCAGTATTCAATAACTGAACGAAGTAGTAATGGAATAACCGGTAGATCAACTTTTGGCCTTCTGTTTTTATCGGCGAAAAAGCCCTCAACCGTTCCTCTCGTTGATATCGATTTTGAAATCATTAATCGCAGAACGATGTAGCGTTTGCAATGGGCTTATGTCCCGCTTTGTGTTTACATGTAGTATTATATGAATCACTGAATAAAAGGTCAACGAGAAATAGTACTTCAGCAACATATGCTTTACATATTAGTTCCGTATTCATGTTTTCAACGCCATTATAATATCTTCACCTGCATTTCGTGATGCGGGGTTCATACATATCAGTGAACCCTTTTCATCTTTTGACGGTGTTAGTATTTACTTATTGATAGTATCGTCGTTAGTACGGAACAAATGGGATTCTTGCCCTAGGCCTCCATCTTTGAGATTTCAAATTTTTAAAAAATTAACTGAATCATATATAGTAGCAGGTATCAAATTCTGTGAAGTTACAGTGTTTAACTACATAATGGTAGTACAATTCTTGGTCGTTTAATGTACAGTAATATAATGCGTGACCGTACAACTCGTGGTGATATAAAGAGGCTCCACTGCACAAACTCTATCGGTGGTTCTGCTGATGGGTACTTACTAATCTTTTGCAATGCTAATAAGGTATTTTATTTTTGTAGTTTGTGGTAGAGAAATTACATCGTAACGATGATTATAAATTACAAGATTTGAAAAATTCTGTGAAAATAATTGATGCCGGGTAACGGTACTTTCGAATGTAATCTGCTGATGCAAGTATGATGCATGAAGATCTTCTTAAGCACATGTGTTCTTTCTGCAAACAAATTTCTCACGTTAAAATGGTTATTTTACCTCTTAAAAATATGATCTCGGTTTCAAGAAATGAATGTTCGAGAAATAACTGTTAATCTTGATACTGCCATTAGTTTTCGCGAGTTAATTTATGTTAATTGTTTCTCATAGTAATTAGGTTAAGAGGGCAGGTAGCAGAATGATATCAAATATGGTAGGATAAACTTAATTAAAAGTATTAAATAAGAGGCAATTACAATTATAAATATAACATGTTGTCCGAATAATTTTTTTCGACTGTTTATCCTGGAGTGAATCATTTTTTACCATTTTTTTTTACCTGTAGTTATGATAAACCATTGATTACGATATCGTACTGATATAGTTTATAATAATATTGTACTGACAGTAGTGAATCAGTTAACGCAATTTCCTTAGGTAGTGGATGTACATGTGTAACACACTGTGAAATTCAGCGAAGGTTACAGGTCATTACTGTTGAGGATAAAAATTATAATATAATAAATAACACCATGTACATACCTGATGTCTGATTTTTATTTATTTAATAATAGCATCCAGAACAAGTAACCCATTCATTGGACTTACATTAGTGGCACCACTCTCAATAGTCATACAGTATTTGACATTATTTATAAACAGCGTTAGACCAGAACATGTTCGAGTGATAGAACGTCGGTCAAACAATATACGACATACATTTCACACGGTGTTCCTGTTACATTAGAATACGATATAAAACGTGCGATATTTTTTACGCAGTTACAATACTCGAAGAGTGGAACGACGGTTCGCGAAAGTAGACGTGAATTAGCGTATGAATCGTGCGCAACTTCGTTGTTCGTAAGTGTATCTGATAGTCACGGAAAAGGAGAAGAAAATTCCGGTCTCCTCGTGCATGATGAAAGCTCGTTCGGGTTCGTTTATCATCGCGTCGCAGAGGGATACGTATAGCGGTCGTTAAAAAACAATATATTACATTTAACTATACCTGCTTTCCTCGTGTCGTTTCTTTCGTCGGTGGGAATCCGTACGATTGATTTATCAGTTCGTCTATTATTTCAAATATACTTTACAAGTTCGTGTTGCTGCTGATTCTACAAAGATCCTTATTAGCATAGTCCAGTCATTAGCAAGCATAATGCGCCATCTTGTCTACCACAGCCTACGCTTTGACATTTGTGCATCTGTTTCAATGCCTAGGTTATTTAATTAAACATAAAGAGGGGCGCGTAATATTTCTGTGCGATCAGATAGTTATACTTGTGGAGGATGTTAATGAAGCCGGTTTCGATCAGCTGATGAATTAATTACGGAACAAACACTGGCGTGTCCTTAATCGTGACAGAGGAACGAGGCTAACGATTCACCCGGGGTCCTTGGTCGTACGATCTCGTTCGCATGAGTCATCGGCAATTCGATTCTCGTCTCACAATATCGACTCTCGCGTACATGGGAATGAACGATCCTTTTTCCGCGATTATGTAACCATGGTCGTCTCAGTTGTCAGTGTAATTATTGCTATGATGTGAATGGCAACAAAACTACAAGGACTTTTCCAAGATGCGAATAAGCCATTAACGAAGCAATTTTATAAATGAAATTTTTGAAACGTCTGTTCACTGTTCTTTGCCAGTTATTAATATTATTATTACATTTATTTTTTACGTTATATAGCACAACTATTTTCTCTTACTGACTCCAAATTTGTTATGAATAAAGGCAATTTTGCAACCACAGCAACAGTGTCTTCGATCTGCTCGAAAATCGACTTACTCCGTTGAATTTTTAGTCATCGAGATACTCGATATTATAAACTACAATCGAAGTGAAACGAAAGACGCAGAGTCAGCGAACGATAAAGAGGAAAGATATTAAATAGCGCAGTATGTCACCGTACGCACAAAATCACATCCCACGATTCAATCTAATCGTTGAAAGCGGTTGATGACGATGATCACACGAAGGTTGTTCCAATTAATATTAAACTGCCTGTGAAATAATGATACTACCGTACGTGAGTGCGTTAACGAACAACTCGTACACGTTACTCTGTGCCACCATAATCCACGATGAAGTAACGTACACTTGTAATGCTGTGGAATTTTGATGTTAACTGTTGGACGCTGAGTATATCGCGCTGTAAAAGTTTAGTGTTATTTTGTGTCAAAGCAGCATTCAGTACTACGTGTTAAAAAATCTAGTGCTGATTATAACGCACTAAAGAATTTTATCTGATAGTAAAGGAATTTTGCTTCGAGTGTCGTGTACTAGGCGTATTTTTCACTGGTTGTAATGTGATAGGGGAATTTTGTATGAACTATCGTGTGTTAGGGATACTTTGCGCTGACTATAGTGTCATAGGGATTTTTGCGCTGACTAAAGCGTCATAGAGCTTTTTGCACTGACTATAGCGTCATAGGGCTTTTTGCGCTGACTATAATACAATAGGGATATTTTGCGCTGACTATTGTGTTATAGGGATACTTTGCGCTGATTATAATGCAATAGGGATACTTTGCGCTGACTATAATGTAATAGAGGTGTTTTGCGCTGACTATATCTTGCTAAGGATATTTTGCGCTGACTATTATATGCCAGGAGAATTGTGCGTTAACTGCCGGTACTAAGAAAATTAGTGTTGACTTTGAGGCACTAGGAAGATTTTACGTTGACTGTTTGACATTAGAATTGAAAATTTTTCACTGATTATCAACTATGCGAATTTTCCACTGTCTATAAGTATCAAGAAATTTCGTAGCTACGACGCATTAAATGATTAAGTATCGATCCATTATTGTTAACATTAACCTTGATAATCTTAGTTGTACATTGCGATAAGTCACTGATAAGAATTTGAAAAGAATGAAAGCAATAAACGAATTCAATAGCAAGAAGTTTAAATGTTTAAAGGTGTTAATGGCACTGTATTTCGAGTATTCAGATTTTTCTTTCCTCCGATCCTGTCCTTTTGTTCAGGAGAGACAGGTCGTTGGCCGCACTTTATGGTTCGAGGTGCCAACGCTCCATTCTAATGTAATCTCCATTGTAAATCCGTTGACGAGCCTCTTACCTCTATATATTTTCATCTTGTTTCATTATTTCATCGTTCGAACGTACACCTGACCACTTAGTATGTTTAACTACGCTACGATAATCGCTATAATTTATACGTCATGTGCAGTTCTGTTACACATCATGTACGGTTCTGTCTTTACGATGAGTAGGTGTGAAAGTGGTCAGTTAATGAAGTTCCGATGGATAGGGAGTCAAGGATTACAAGGTTTCACAGTTTAAATATTCACAAATTCCAGCATCCCAAAATACGTTTTGAAGTTTTGGTGTTTCAATATTTTTAAATTCTTAAGTTTTCAAATTCGTTAATTCTTGAGTGTTCGTGTGAAAGTTTCAATTCCCCAAATCTGCAAATTTACTAAATTCAGTAATTATGTAACCGGTGCAAGTAGGGCCTAATTACACGGTAGTAACGCAACGCGTGAACGTAATGCGTAATGAGTATATTCACCGAAGGTAAAGTACTTAGCTGTCCCGAGTTCGTTGACCGTGACAACAGATAGGCGGCTCTTACTTTCTCGCAGTGACGAAATCGAACAGCACCGCGAAGTGTCTGTGTCTAGACTCGTAGCCACAGCTCAGGTCGCCGATACGCGAGGGAAAACAATGATTCAGGTGCACTTGCCTAGTTTCGTATTCCACTGACGTTTCCACCAAGTCGAGAAAGATACACGTGCAACGAAGTTTCCAACATAGATCGTTCTACGGAAAATGTGCGTCTCAGAGTTCCATCTTTATAAAATTGAAAAACTTTAATATCTCCATATCCTATAATCTTACAGTCCCAAGTGCCTAAGTGAATAAATTCGACTTCACATTTTTATGTACTCTGGGCCCAGTCAATTATGCACTTTGTTTAGTAACAGAGCGTTTAAATTTTGTCGAAAAACACGTGACCACTGATGCATGTCTCCCTGTTCCTGACCGTCAGCTCCACCTGCTATTTCCTGCTTCTTCCCCCCTGATTCATTCATTTCGTTTTATATTGCACTGCGTGTTGCCTTTCCAGCCAGACAAAATGATCACGCGACAATTTTACGTTATTATTTCTACGTATGGATTAAGGTGAACGAATCGAGAAATTCCTTCTTGGATCGTTTTTGCTGCAACTAATACGGAAATAATTTCTATCTTATTCATGTTAACGGGATTTCAATTGATGCTACGTACATAATGAAGACATTGCTGCATTAATATAATATAACGGCAATTTGTTACCTTTATTTGCTATTAAGTGGTAATAAATTTGTAGCATGCACCATTCGCAAGTCAATAAATAACTTTAAACGAATAATATGTATGTAGCGTATCCATGCAAAAACGTACAGTGAAAACATTTCTTGAAAAAGAACACGTATCTTCGTATCTTCGTATCAAGTTACTTTTCCTCACCGCTGTATAAATCTTTAACGGCTCCAAGGTTTCACGCACGTGCAGTCTTCCAAAATTTGACTTCATGTATTACAGCTTTGAGCTGAGATACGTTAGTATGATGCAGCGTTGGTTCATGTTTCAAGGATCGATGCAAGGATCTACCGGTTGCTTTTACCGTTACGATACTTCTAACGGGATGCTGGGAATGCGACAGCCGAGGGAACTAGCCGAAACCATTCCTTTCTCGTGCTTTCTAGATCAGCAATGCGAACGATAGAATATTTGCGACGAATTCTTATCTAGCAATTGTGTGCTGTGTTCGTACTCTTTGTTCTACATTTACTGCCATGGATATTGTATAGCAGTAGTTGTTGATGAAAAGAATAATGAATTTAAAACAGGTAGTGTAGCATAGAAAAAATGGATTACGTACATGTAGAACTAAAAAAGTTAACAAACTTCAGCAATTTTCAGTCGTTGAAGATATTTCTTACTTCTCGTTTTTTATCTACGTATACCACAGCGTAGTGCGTATTGATGGGAAGATCAGATTCTAAACAAAAAATAATTCGTTGAAATTAAGTCAGTCTTATGTTAATATAATAAATAAAATATGTAATCTCAACCACCTTTATCGTTAAAAGAAAAATAGTATCCTCGACCAAGTTGCTTTACATATTGTTAAACATGACAGTCATTGGACAAGTAAAGGTCGTCACGTACCGGTGCACCGTTGTTTCACGAACAGCTAGCAGCCGTGACGAAATTTTGAAACCGTCGTTGCGAATCAAAATGGTGGTGCGCTTTGAAGAGACACATTGCACTGCGAGGATGACGTGTTGCCCTCACGAAATTATGGGGAAACAATTTGCTTCGACATGGTACAGATACGTTGAAACCTTTTCAGAGAAATTAAAAGCGTAACATTAACCTTTGTTATTACGCTTTAATGATTCTTTTAACGTGCACCATATTGTGTTTTGAAATTTGTTATACTTATTCGTATAAGCTTCGCGACGAACAGATGATCCCAGTCGTTAAAATATTAATTTCCTTCATCGTACATATTTTTCTAAATATTTCAGTGCGATAACAGGTGCGTGATACATGCATCGTTATGTAAATCCTTTCGATGAATCGTGAATGTTAGAACCGTACTTATCGTTGTCTTATCTTGATCACGATAATATCGAGCAATGGACTGATAAAAATCCAGAAATTTCGATGAGTACGCCTGAAAGCAAACACTCATCAGCGATCAAGAGTAAAAGTTAGTATTATAATTATACTTGATCGAGTACTGCGACTATTTGACACATCGTTGTGCAGGTTAGTTATTGTTCTTGTTTCATCAACACTTTGCATAATGTTACGATGTGTTTACGTGTGTCTTGTGAAATCGATATTAGAATTGTGTAAACAGAATTTGTGGTTAAAAACTCGTATAATATTTTCGTGTACGGAGTAGAGGCGCTGCTACCGATTATCGACATTACTATCGATGTTTAACATTATGTCGGTAACGTGCGAGATAGAATGTGCGATGTAATTTTATATATATTTACGCTTTAAACTTAACTAATAATATAACAAAGCAAGAATGATCAGATTTGATTAACAAAATTCTGCGTTACATTATATTTTAGTTGCTTGAACGTGTTATCAATACATCGAAGAAATATGTCGGAATATCGATATGCATTGAAAATAATATTTCGATATTATCGATGTCATTATCGGTAACCGTAGTTCTGGTGCTAACGTGAATAATTTAGCGTTGTTTTACGTATGAGGCATTTATTCGTTTCGTCGAGGGTCGGCGAAAATCCTCATCGAACGGCACTTTTGATGCTTCTTCTATCAATAACGTGTGCAATCCGATTCTTTCGCCTAATCTTTTTTCAGACGGGAGCAACGCCGATATAGCTAAGTTCTTCTCATTTGCTACCAATGGCAGATTTCTTCGAATCTCAGAGGCCTCGAATAATTTATTATGTTAATGCAAGAAAATATTTTCAGGAGAGAAATAGAAAAGAAGTTTTTCTGGAAAGTTGTCTCTCTTCCCGTCACGGCGTATGCTCCATAGAATTTCCTCTTGCATTTGTGATCTTACCGGCGGAAATGAATAAAAACTGTTGCTTTCACCGGAAACAGCCCTCAGTTTCAAGAGAAAGTGGCAATGAAATGAATTCGCATACAATAATTCATTTTTACTTTTCATCTTAATGTATTTATACAGTGTTGGGTGTAATTATACTACACGCGATATTAACGTAATTACACACCAATTTGATGCCATTATAAAACGAAAAATGTAATATCATTGTAATTCTCCATAACTAAATTTATCATTATAATAACTTCATTGATGCTGCCATTAGAAAGCAGTTTTCAGTAAATTCGAAATATTGTTTCTGTGATAATTTTATCAGTTATTTTAATTTTTGTTTAGTTAATATTGATTAAATGTTATAAATTTCATCTTTAATATTTGGATTATAATTCTTTGAAGATTTTAATATTGTTTTTGTTTTAAAGTGCAGGACGGTATGGAGAACCAGCAGGTGTGGGTGCGGGACCCTCAAGAGGGTTTCATAATCGGCAAGTTCGCGGACATGGTTGACGGGGATGCGTTGATCGTTCCACTAGATCCAAAATATCCACAGCGCACCTGTCCGTTGGAAGAAGTCTATCCTGCTGGCGAATACACGAAAGACGTCGAAGACAATTGTAATTCAACTTCGAGTTTAATGCCTACACCATTAAGGCTGTTCCTTCAGTTTACAGAAAATCTATTTCTTCCACTGTACATAATGGAACCTTGAATCTTAAATTATATTTAGTGAACCTAAACGCTGGTCACCAAAATAGGTTGAAAATTTATTACAACAAAAATTATACTGTTCTATGTGTAGTTATATAACTAATAAAAACTTATCAGTGAATTCGTTCATTTCTCAATCTATATTTATATAAATAGAACTTGTCAATGAAGTACATTTTAGATAATCTCTCAACATTATTTTATTTGTACAGTTACATTGTCTATATGTATATAAATTTCAGTAGTTTAATTTATTTTAATTTTGTATTAATGTCAGTATGTTGGAACACAAACAACAGTCTTTATATACAAATGAGGAGCATAACATGCATTGCATAGTTTTCACGTATCTTTCTCTTCTAAAAATCTGCTTTCACCATTTTGTTCTGTTTTTCATGTTCCCAGGCGCTCTGATGTACCTGAACGAGGCCACGCTGCTGAACAACATACGGACTCGTTATTTCAAGGATAGAATATACGTGAGTAATTTTATGCAGATGGGGTTCAGGGGAATGAACTAAATAAGCGCATTAAATCATTCAATCGCTGGTAATTATTTTCTGCTGTAACCACAAAGATTCGTACTGATATTTTCATTTAATATTTTTCAGACTTATGTTGCCAATATTTTAATAGCTGTAAATCCCTATTGCGAAGTAAGAGACCTATACTCGCCTCAAACTATCAAAGCCTATCAAGGAAAATCATTGGGAGAAACACCTCCACATGTTTTTGCTATTGGTATGTAATCGTTTGTTATTGTCATTCATGATTATAGTAATTTGGTATTGAAATGGTAACTTCATTATCATTCTTTAGCCGACAAGGCATTCAGGGATATGAAGGTACTGAAACAATCGCAGAGCATCATTGTTTCTGGAGAATCTGGAGCTGGCAAGACTGAATCAACCAAGTATCTTTTACGGTATCTCTGTGATCTGTGGGGATCAACGGCTGGACCAATTGAGCAAAAGATTTTAGACGGTAAATTATAGTGTTAGACTTGAACGAAAGAATAATAATACCTACAAAAATAATACTATAATTTTTTGGACTCTGATGAGGAGCTCAAATACATAGATGTCCAATCCTCATGATTAACTGTTTAGCAAATCCGGTATTGGAAGCTTTTGGAAATGCGAAGACCAAGCGGAACAATAACAGCTCCCGCTTTGGTAAATTTATGGAGGTGCATTTTGATTCAAAGTGCCAGGTGGTCGGTGGTTATATTTCTCACTATCTGTTGGAAAAGTCAAGAGTATGCCTTCAAAGTCCGGACGAGAGAAACTATCATGTTTTTTATATGATGTGCGCTGGTGCACCTCCTGAACTTCGCGCGAGACTCGGAATTACAAAACCGGATGACTTTCATTATCTAAAGAATGGCTGCACACAATACTTTTGTAACGAAGAGTCGGAGAAGAAGCTAAACGACGTTCAAAAGAGTCGCGATCAAGTTATGAAAGGCAGTTTACATGATCCTATTTTGGACGATGTTGAAGGATTCAATGCTATTGACCAGGTAAATATCGTAAATATTAAACATATTTTAGTTCTTTTAAGTAACATTATTTTTACTTAGTGATGCACTTTTTGTATAGTTATGAAAAATGTTTTAGCAAGGTTTTTAAACGCTTATACTTATTTTACACTTTTCTCTTTTTTTGCTGATTGGATAATTTTTTCAACACAGGAAAAGGCAACGGTAATAAGATAGCTTTTTAACTATCTTTTATTTCGTAACAAATGTTTGTTATAGACTTTTATATTTTTTGTAATCTTTTATTTTTTACGCAAGAATCCTATTATATATTTCTTCTTATTCTGTTTGGTTCTTTCTAATATTTTTATGAAGGCCTTGACTAGACTCGGTTTAACGGAAGCAGAAAGGATGGAAATTTACACTATGGTGGCTGCGGTACTTCACCTTGGAAATATTATGTTCGAAGACAATCCTGAAGACACCAAAGGTGGTTCCAGAATATGTGCTAGTTCCGAGAAGGCGGTGTTAATGACAGCGAAGCTGTTGGCTGTAGATCCTGAGGAGCTTAGACAAGCTTTAGTCTCGAAAGTGATGCAGACTAGTCGAGGTGGTATCAAAGGAACAGTTATTATGTAAGTGTCTCAAAATAGTTGTAAAAAACATAAAATGAATAATAATTATTGACGTCATCTAATAACGAATTGATCATCAATATTTAAGGGTACCATTGAAAGTTTATGAAGCTAACAACGCTAGAGACGCTTTGGCGAAAGCTATTTATAGTAAATTATTTGACCACATCGTAGCTCGTATTAACAAAAGTATACCTTTTAAGGCTTCTAGTTACTACATTGGAGTTCTAGATATCGCTGGATTTGGTATGTAAAAAATTATTAAAGTTTTCTAACTAATAGACATTTTACTTATATCATTATTAATATTTTATAGAGTATTTTAAAGTAAATAGTTTTGAACAATTCTGTATAAATTACTGCAATGAAAAATTGCAACAATTTTTCAACGAAAGAATACTGAAATATGAACAAGATCTTTATGCCAGAGAATCCCTTAATGTACCGAAGATATCTTATGTTGATAATCAAGATTGCATTGGTAAGTATGATCATACCTATCAACTCTAACAGTCAGAGTATATTAAATCTTGTAACTTTAAAACTTCCCGAACTGTAATAAAATTTAACATGCAGTTTATGTTTCTAGATTTAATTGAGTCAAAGAACATGGGAATCTTTAGTTTATTAGATGAAGAATCAAAATTGCCAACTCACAGTTTTGCACATTTTACTAGCGAAGTTCATCGAGTTTGGAACGGCCATTTTAGGATAACTTTACCACGAACTTCTCGTTTAAAGGCTCATAGAGAATTGCGTGACGATGAAGGATTTGTAATTCGTCACTATGCCGGTGGTGTTTGTTATCAAACGGTACGTTAAATTACAGAAGAAAGTATTTTTAATTGATTAAATACTTTCTATACTGATGAAATGGTGCCTATTGTATACACGATCATTCAGAAGCTCTCTCTTATAATTTTCAGAACCAGTTTATTGAGAAAAATAACGATGCGTTACACGCATCTTTGGAAGCATTAATTCAAGAAAGTAATAACAAGTTCCTTAGAACGCAGTTCGCTAATAATTCTTGCCAGAAAGGGAAACTAACTTTCATCAGCGTTGGTAGCAAATTTAAAACGCAGCTTGGGGAATTGATGAATAAATTGAAAAGCAACGTAAGTTTTTCTTTTTAATAGAAAATTTAAAAAATTCGATCAGACGGTGGATATATTTACGTTTTTCATAGGGAACAAATTTCGTTCGTTGTATTAAACCGAACAACGATATGGTGGATCATCAGTTCGATGGAAACAGTATTTTAGGACAGCTCCGTTGTTCCGGTATGACATCTGTCTTAGAACTCATGGAACACGGTTACCCAAGCAGAGTTCCGTTCCAGGAACTCTATAACATGTACAAATCGTATCTTCCTCCAGAACTAGCGAAGCTGGAGCCCAGATTCTTCTGCGAAGCGTTGCTCCACAGCTTGAAATTAAATAAAAAAGATTTCAAATTCGGAATCACTCGAGTCTTCTTCAAACCAGGAAAGTTTGCTGAATTCGATAAGATCATGAAATCTGATCCCGAGAACTTGAGGAAATTGGTAGCCAACGTAAAGAAATGGCTGCTCAAATCCCGATGGAACAAGATGCAGTTTTGTGCATTGTCTGTGATCAAACTGAAGAACAAGATCATTTATCGAAGACAACATTTGATAATCTTACAGAAAACAGCAAGAATGTACATAGCCAAGAAACAGCATCGACCACGTATAAAGGGTATCATGAAAATTAAAAATCTGAGGACGCAACTTGTTAGTATGGAAGAAACGTCGAAACAGTTGAAGAATCGTGAAAAGTCCATGAGCGATATTAAGAGATTGCAAGACGATTTGGAAGCGGCGATCAAGAAGATTAAGGACAATACAAGAATACGAGCGACAGAAATCGATTCTCTCTACACGAGTTTGGTTAATCAAGTGAACAAACAAATGGCGTCGCTTCAGGATATGGTCAGACAACAGAAGATTGCTGAAGAACAGGCAAAGTTGAGGAAGATTCAACAGGAATTGGAGCTTGAAAAACAGAAGAAAGAAGAAGAGGAACGACAGAAGAGAGAAGAAGAAGAGAACAGGAAAAAGAAACACGAGATTGAGATGAGAAGAAAAGCTGAAGAAGAACAGAAGAGGAGACAAGAGGAGGAGGATAAAAAAACTGCTGCAGCTTTGCAAGTATATATTTTATTTTATGTAAACAATGATTTTCTTAAATTCAGTATAATTTATTTAATACCACTTTAAGTTACATCGCTACTCATTATATGCCTGATTTGATCAAACGAGAATTGAATTGTTTTCAAGGTACAACTGGAGAGAGAAGCGATGGAAGAGAACAGATACCGTGAATTATTGGAACAGGAAAGAAGAGATCATGAACTGGCAGTCAGATTAGCTCAAGAATCCAATGGCCAAGTTGAAGATTCACCGCCTCCTGTTCGAAGGTATCGTATCGTGCTTCGCTTTCATAGAAAGTTAAATAGCTGGAGTATCTTATGTCATTATTATACTAATTGGAGGAAAGTAGAACAAGCTACGCTAGATAATAAACAAATTTTCCCCGAATGATAAACAACAGCAAAAATTTAACGAAATTAATCTCGCAAATTGAAGGATTTTTCAAACAATCAATAAGATATTATTTTCTTGAATATGTACATATAGCGGTTCCGATGTACGAGTACCATCGAACAACAACAGGCTAGCAAGGTATCGTAAAATTTGTTGAGGTTTACTGCATCTATAACTAACATTATAGTAACATGGTTGACTTTCTGTGACTAACTTGTTAACATATTCTTCTTAACGTTAAAAGTGTTTGGTTTTCACTGTGAATAGGGATTGGTAACTTTGTAAAGTTATCATTGCATGGCACCTATTTGTTATGCATGTTTAATTAGAAAAGAGAAATGCATATTTGATAAATACTTCTCATCATCACAAGGTTATAAATTAGTATTCTACGCTAAGATACATTCATTTTATATGTATAAGACATCTACAAAAAAATATATTAAGTGTATAGTGTTCTAATGATTATACTTTCTGATAAGGACATCTTGTCATCTGTAAATTAATTACTTTCTTTTAAATAATAGGTCGGAGCAGGTGCGCAACAATCAAGCTGCTATGTCTAACAAAAAATACGACTTATCTAAGTGGAAATACTCGGAACTACGAGATGCTATCAACACATCATGTGATATTGAGTTATTAGAGGTATAGTTTATTTCTTTTATTTAGTAGTTATAATATGTTGAGTATTAGCTGTTAGTACATCCTAGCAATCAGAGATATAGTAATTATTCCAAGTGAAAATCTTTACTGACTATATATACAGTATATGAATAATAATAAACAATTAGAAAATGTATAAAACATAGTTAAAGATCACTGGATATGTAGGCTAGATATCGCCTACGATTTAAAAGCGCTTGCGCATGATGTTTTAATAAAAAGAACCAATCAGAGACAACATGCGCAGAACGGTCAAAAATTCGTCGTTCATCATTCTTTCGTTCTGCGCATCTGAAACTTCACTTTCTCCCGGGAAAGTGCACTTTCACCCTCTATATAATGTTTGTAAACTTTTCATAGAATGACAGATGCAATTAACGTGTTTAATTTCCTCGACAGGCTTGTCGTCACGAGTTCCATCGAAGATTAAAGGTTTATCATGCATGGAAGGCAAGAAATCGCAGACGAATAACAATGGATGAAAATGAAAGAGCTCCGAAATCGATCATGGAAGCCGGTAAGGTTAGGTGCATGTATTGATTCACAAGCAACAAATAAAATATTTGTTTTATGTTAACACACATGTGCTATTTGTTCCAGCTGCTAAAACACCAAGAACTCAGACGAAACAAACGATAGTCGAGTCCTCGCAGCGATATTTCAGAATACCGTTTGTGCGGCCAGCTGCTCCTGGACAGTATGACAATTCGCACACATCCGCTAAGCGAGGATGGTGGTATGCTCATTTTGATGGTCAGTACGTTGCTAGGCAGATGGAACTTCATCCTGATAAAGCACCAATTCTACTAGTTGCAGGTAAGAAGTTTTATTTGTTGTGTACATCTTTTGTTTATAATCCAGTATGTGAAGATTGAATGTCAGTGTCATAACAGCTCATGTTTACAGTGTTTTGTGGTTATATCTGCCAAACAAAAATTTGCTTTATCATTTCTCTGTACACATGTTATTAATAGTTTCTTCCTATTACTTTTACATTCAGTATCTTTCTGAATTTGCAAGCAATTTTTTTATGTATTATTGTTCTTTTAAAAGCACCATAACCAAAACAGTTCCTACCAGATGGAGCAACAAGTGTGTATGTGTGATGTGTGTGCATAAATCAGGATTCATGAACAGCTATTAAAAACATATTCGTTTTTGTGGAAGGTATTGACGACATGCAAATGTGCGAATTGAGCCTGGACGAAACGGGTTTAACCAGGAAACGCGGAGCCGAGATTTTGGAACATGAGTTCAATCGTGAATGGGAAAAACATGGTGGTAAATCATACATTCCTCCATGCGATCGCAAGAAATGAAAAGTCCATTTGAACGTCCGTCGTACATACAAAAATAATTCTAAGCATGAACTATAAGTTTTTATATCGATCCATATTACATGTAACAGAGTGCCTTAAAATTTATATTTGACCTCTGGAAAAGGCAAATTTTTGGAAAGTATGATGATATTTTGCTGCTGATTGTTGAGAATATAAATTGATAATGAGAATTTGTAAATTTGCGCGTCAAGGGATATGGTACGATGTAAAACGAACGGATGTTGGGATATGTTGTAAACATGTATATCTTAATGAGATGATGATCGATTTGAATGCACGTGTCAACGATTTCTAATGATACATATTATATATTCAGTATTGAAAGCTAGTATAAATTTACATGGAAAATTTTATAATTGAAAACGTGATGAGAACCTTGAAGCATGAGACAAGGAATGAATATTCGCAAAAAAGATCTCATTAAAATTGGATTTGCAATAAAGATTCGATATAAGCGTAAAAGTTATCCCATTAGTGGTCAAGAAGACAGAAATCAAGTCAAGAAGTTCGTTCAACGAGAAATGTAATGTGATAAATATACAAATATAAAACTTTATTTTTTATTTTTTTTGTTATCACCAAGTGAATAGCGAGTGCAAAAGAAATAGATGCAGTAATTAAAAATCAAAAGGTCAAAAGCCTGTTGCTATTTTTTATATAACTTTTTCCGTCAAATTAGTAACATTTTTGTATAAGGGAGCACTGAATGTGTTGTTTTGCTTGCTGTCCTTTTCTACCGTTCGGCAAAACATCAATCAATGTAGGATTGATATAAGCGAAAGTTCAAACCCGAGTCGTTTATATCGAATCTTTACTGTATTTTATTTCCTTGTTGTTAATTCACCATTGTAATTAATTCATAACATTAAAGTTGATAGAACAGAATTATAAATTCTTAGTATATAAACCTTTATATCTCATAATGGAAAAAAGCATCATGGTTCCTTTTAATTGATATAAAAATGTTGTCTTCTGTTGTATACAGTAAAGGTAATTTTTACTATTTATAAGTCGTATTATTGCACATTTATCACAAATCATAGGTATGCTTAATGTGAATACAAAAAAAATCTTAATGAATAAATACCATGTATTATTTACATGTTTATGTATAAATAACATTCAAACCACTTAAGAGTAAGTCTCAAAATTTTTACAAAACAAATATTTCTGTAATTAAATATTCATGATATAACAAAGTGTGATCAGTTTTCCTTGTCAAAAGGAATATCTGTAAATATACATCAATATCTATGAAACAATGTTTTAGCTGGGAGGCACCCAGCCACCAAATTCCTTCTCTAATATTTTAGCAACTGCAATACAGAGAGGATCTTGATATGGTCCAGCTGACACCTAAAACACAATTAATCATGAATGAAACTCTCAAATAAATATATATACATATAAGTATAATAGTTGTAGTATAGTGTTAGTTTTTTATAGTTTTTCATATAGACTTTCAGTAACTTTTCAATTTCCAAGTTACCAAATTGTCAAGTTTACTAATTTTAGTTTAATTTTAAATAGTATTAGATATAGACAATTAAACTATGTAACAATTACTTGAAGTCCAATTGGTAATCCGTTTCTATTAAGACCCATTGGTACATGTGTTGATGGTAGGAGAAACATATTTGCAATCGCGGTGTAAGCGCTGTGGTCGAACCTGGATAACACAGATTCCGGAAAAAGCGCTGGTTGTGGTAAGGTGGGGTAGATGAACACACCATTGTCACTGAGTACATTCTGCAAACGGTATTTCAAAATAATAACAGTTCACAGATAAATAAAAAAGATATTTATTAAATAAATTGTGCAACATACTTTAATTTCCTGTCGGATGTCCACCTTCATTTGTTTGTAAGCTGATAACTTAGACCTTGAAAGGAATCCATGTCTTGTAGTAATTATTCGTACAAAATTTACCGACCTGGTGTTCCGTGCCAGACCAAATATGGATTTTATGAATTCTATGTATGGATTCGTTGTCCTCTGCAAGGAAAATTATAAATTAGAATATTAAACAAGACAGATAATTTGTCTAATTAACAATAAACATTGAAAAGTTGAATAGAAATAATTACGTCTGGATGTTTAGGATCTTTAACCAGTTCAGATACGTCCAGATCAGCGAATGAGGATAGTTCCATCTCGCTCACGTGCTTTACCCAATCTTGCGATATCTGAAATGCAAGTCCTTTGTCAGAATAAAATGTAACTTCGCAGTAAAACTTCCATAACAATTATCTAATAAGATTGCAATTAATTTTTGGTACAAGTAATAGGTTCTTTAGGTCCAGTTTTATTAAAAGTATCACCTTTTGTACTTGAGCTCCATTACTGGCAAGGAACTCTACAACCTTGTGGACGCTCTGTCTGATGTCTGATGAAGTCGACATCAAACCGAACGTATAATCAATATTATCCATATAAAAGACTCGAAGATCTTTCAGGTCGATTGTTCGGTTCCAATTCAAAGGTCTCTTGCATTCGGCTGACAGAATCTTCATTGTCAATTGAAGATCTTCCGCGTACTTGGTTAATGGTCCAAGCACTAGATATTCATCAAAAAGCTGATTGTCCACTGAGGGATAGTGTCCCTTGTTGGGAACTAAACCTGTAAGGATAAGTTACAATTTAGTCGGTCAACAATATTGAAAAGGTCATAGTAATTAGAAAATTTTCAGTAATACCTGGACTAGGTTTATGGCCGAAAATACCATTGTAGAGGGCAGGTATTCTTATGGAACCAACGAAGTCTGAACCGAGACCAAACATGGATGCTCCTGCAGCGACGAGGGCGCCCTATAAAACCGAACTAAAGCTTCACCAAAGAATCAGCAATCTAATTAGAATTAGATATTACTAATATTCGTAAAACATTTATACAGTAATTTTTATCAAAGTTTAAGCTCTAAATTGTATATATTGATTGTTAAATATTCGGTTACATTGTAAACAATTTTTAGAAATTGTATTAATTCATTGTAATCAATTTTCAGATCATTTTGTAATAACTTGGATTACCTCACCGCCTGATGATCCTCCTGAGCTTCTCCTTAAATCATAAGGATTATAAGTTTGCCCGAAAAGAAAGTTGAAGCTGTTGGTTGCTGAGCATAATTCTGGCGTATTGCTGACCAGCAGTATAATAGCTCCAGCATTTCTCAACAATCTGACTGCATCTCCATCCTCCTCGGATTTAAAGTCCTTCCTCACTATGCTGCCTCCAGTAATACTCATTCCTGATACGGTAAAAAATCATTGATCTTACATTAATAACTCCTTCATGTTTTTATCGTTTATGACTTACGACTCTTATCATTTGCGAGTTGTGTACCACACCTAATTTACTGCTGCAATGCTAAGCCAAATAATGAGAGTATACTTCATTCATACTTCATCGTATAATTCATACTTCAACATTTAACGATTCTTAAGATTTAACTTACAACTGAATTGTAGTATAAAATATTTGTGATATAATAATTGTAATCTAAGTTTGTCATTTTTGTACTGTAAGTTGATACTTTAAGGCAAAAGATTGGTACAAATATTTTGACCACTTCAACATTCAAAATATGGAACACAAGTGATGCAAACATTGTTATCCACGCGTCGACCTTGAATTTGATCACCTTGAAAATTGAATGCCTGGAAGGCTGTTTACACGGTAAATGGACACCGTGTTATTTTCATAACGGTCATCGCATCATAACACGCGATATAAAGCGTTACTTCGCGGTTCCGAAAATGGACTAACGTGCAAAATACGTTGCCGCCTATGCAATCTTGTTTACACGTTTCGTTAAAAATTTTCGTATACTTCGAGACTCGTCATTGCGATTTTTTACTGGTTACAAATAGGTGTGGTAGAAATTTGTAATACTTCTCAGAAACTAAGTAGAGTATACTTTCGTGTTACCTTCAACACGACAGCTCTCCTTAATCGTAATTGGAACGCCATACAACGGTTTCTCGTTTTCCAGATTCGAGGCGATCACTTTTCCGCTTCTCAACATTTCGTCGCATGTTCTCGCGTCTTTTAAAGCTTCTTCGAATCGGTCCTCTATCACTGCGTTCAAGAAAGGATTCACTTCCTTAGTACGCTCGATAAATGCCTCCACTACTCTCTGGCTAGAAAGCTTTTTCCAATGCAGGAAAGTTACGAATTACTACATGTTTCATATTTCAATTGAGCTGAGAATGAACCAAACTCTATGAAAAGGAATGATAATGAAACTTATTTAGTATTAGAACAAGTACAATAACGACATGTTTTTGATTTAGATCTGAGTTAAGTTTGGAGACAGGAGATTAGTAGCGACGTTACATGTGGATCTGCATTCTAATGTTCATACACAGTTAAGAAATGTAACGATGACTTACCAACATTTAAACTTGATTATTCTCGAGTTAGATCCAGGTTAGAATTGCAATTAATGTATTGTGGATTCATCTCACATTTTACTTAAAAAAATATTGACCGACAGTGTGTCTTTGATTAATGGAAACGCTGCTACATTATGCATACAAAACGCTACTACATTACTTGAAGATTCTTCGACAATAATGATGATGAAAAATGTTTTAGAGGAAAGTTACATGATTTTAGAGAGCAAATTGTAAAACTTTGAGTTCATTTTCTGTATGGTACATTTTTTAACGCTCCGTTCGGTGCAGTTCATTATTCTTCTCACGAGAGAATTAAATCACATTACTTTTGAAAATTTTTATACTGAATGGCAAGTGTACGGCTTCAGAACTTATTTTCTAATCATCAATATTGTGGAAGTCACCTTAGTAGCTCAGTTAAGGATAACTTTGCCGATATCGTAAGAAGAAATCCAACGTCAGATTTGTTGTAAGAGCGTGATCGTTCAAATTAAATTAGTATCGTTTTGTAGGAAAGTATTGGAACAGAACGGAACTTTCACAAGAAAACCGCGGAAGATTCCAAGGATGAAGGAGAGAGTACAGAGGCTCTTAGAACAAATATTATTTGTACATATAATTGCCAGACAGCTGGATTAAAAGTTCAGAGTTCATACGCGGACTTACCTGCCCGTTTCTAATCTTCCTGGCTACCGTGGTCGAGCTCATTTTTATCAAAGGATTCTTAATTGGAGGTATACTTCGCCGTTTCCTACAGCGGGCAATTGCGTAGAAAGGATAAATAAGCAAGTCACATAAGCGGAATAATACTAGTCCTATGATTAGTAGAATTTCAGCCATCGTTCCTACAGAAAAAGAAACAATAACTGAAACCTTAATGTTGCATTCATTTGTACATGTCAGACTTTAAATCATTTAATATATTATATGATAGTTGTCTATATGTCACGTGGGAATACAACGTAGTTATGTAATGAGTTGTATGACGCGTCGTTACGGCAGGATGCTGTATGACGCTATAAGGATAGATTACTATGTGGTATGTTACTGGTACGTTTCTATATGGCACGTTGTTATAAGGGCAGGCTGTAACGACGCGTTGATATATCGGGTTGCTATATTTTTTCATTGCTATATCAATGGGTTTCTATTTCGACGTATTGCTGTGGTAAAAAGTTGCAATACCAACCCATTAGCTGTATCAATGAATTATTGTATCGATCCATTACTATAATTTTGCGCTACTATATTTTCTCATTACTATATCAGTGAGTTGCTATATCGACGCATTGCTATAATGTCACGCTGTTATATTTTCTCATTGCTATACCAATGAGTTGCTATATCGACCATTGCAATAACATTGTGCTGTTATATTTTCTCATTGCTATATTAACAACTTGTTACATTAACACATTGCTATACTTTTTCATTGCTTATATGATTGTATTGCTATAATTTTGTTGCTATATTTTCCCAATGCTATATGGGCGCATTGTTATATCCATGCATTACAATGTCAACTGCTACAATGATACAATATTACACGACACTATACGTTATTATCAAAATCATGACGATATAACATTTACTGTATGATGTGCAACCTCACAACGTATTACCATACTACGCCTAACAATCACTATATATGGTAATTTATCGGGAGATAATGGAATACGTTTTTGTTATTCAGCTGCTAACTATAATTAATAATGCATGACGATGTAATTCATGATAGTAATACATTTTTTCAGACCACGTATGATGATATAACGCACAACATACGACGGCTCATTTGCGATTATATTTGTACATATAAGAAGTGCAACGATATGTACTTTCGGTATCACTGCGTTCTTCGTGGATTTCTATGTAATCACATAGAGCAGAATTGCTGCTCGTAAAAGTTTACGCAAGAACTAGTATGACCATATAAGCGAAGGCGATGTAGTGAGATTTCACAGACCGCAGTTCGCCCTATTTCTTTTACGCAGAAGTACTTGTGATTTATTACATTTCTTAACTTCCGCTCTAATAGTCTAACTTTTGATTTACAAATTTTTCATTTTTTGTTCCATTGATATTAATCGTTTAACCTTTGCATAAAGATAGTGCTGAGTTCGATACCAACTTTAATTTATATAATTCAAGATCATTAAATCCAGAATACACTTAACGTTCCAACGTTTTTATTTATTTAATACTGCATTATTAAGCTAGCTCTGACTGCTGCACATGTCGAGAAATGTGTAGGTTGGGAGGTTAATCAAGCATCATTACTTGTGAATGATTCAGTTGATCGCATGTCGCACTTCTTTAATTCTTTTTGTACGGAATAATAGATTCACTTCCTATTAACTGTGTAAAGCTCGACAAACTTTTTGAACAGTTATTTTATATTTATGTTACATTTATATATATAAATTTGTCGTAAAAAATACTCCGAATTGCAAGTGTAAAAAAGTGAAGTCTCTATGTAAGCGAAAATGATGTAAACGATACAAACGAAATATCCTCAGCACTGGGGGAAGACCGCTCCCCCGAGAAATATTATCCGGCTTCAGATATACAAATACACTGGTGAAAGTTTCATAAGAAAATAATCAAATTTGAAAAAGTTTTATTTAAGTTTGTCCTACTGATATGTTACTGTTTATTACGTTCGACAAACGTAATTAAGAGAGTCTAATATATTGGTCAAAGTATCGGATAAACGAATGAGTGACGATCAATTCATGATGTATCCGTCTTTTCTTTATTGCTGATGCACGAGTTAGTAATAGACCTCCAACGATGTCGAATAACGACATTGCATTCCGATTTCACAAACCGTGACGAGGAATTAGATGATCACATTAACTGCTCCGGTGGCGACGGCGTCACAAATTTAATGAAATTAAATTATGTCACGTAACTCCTTTGGGAGAGTAGAAATTTCAGTGGAAAATAATATGAATATATTTAAAGAATCAGTTGGTTACTTTGAACTAATAATTATAAAAGCTTAAGGTTATATAAAATTGAATAAATAGCAATTCATTTATATTTATTTATACTTGCAAAAAATCATTTACTAAGCAGTTCTGAAATTAGTATTTTTTCAGTTGCATAAAGTGTCTGAGACATTAGACATAGAATTTATGGTTGTGACAGTATGGGGATTTACAAAGAATTAATCAAATTTAGATATACTTAGTATTTGTTTGGTATGTCCTTAAACAAGGACTGAAGAAGTTAGACAAATTTCATTGACATGTTTAGAGTCACCAGGAAAATTATATTAATAACGATGGGCTATCGATGCTATTATTCAGAAGTATTATATACAAATCCACGAACCGGTCCTCTTCTACAGACAAGGTAACCTTGAACTAACACACCTATGGGTGAATCTGTAAAAAATTGGTATGCATAAACTGACGCGTGATATAATACAAAAAAATGATTTAAAGATGAAATCAAATCGAGAACATATAATTATTTCAATAACTGCCACTCATGAAGAGTGTATCAGCAGTATTTGCTCGCACATGGAACGCAAAATTGACTATAATAGATTAATCTAGTTTATACATCTTCTTAATACTGCATTTGCAAATTACCAGTACACACCTTCGATTATTCGTGATGCAAATCAAGAAACCAGAAATTCCGATATTTTCAATGCGAATTCTCGAACCGATCGAACAATTTCCAAGTTTTTTTCTTTATCTTCTGTCGTTTTAATGACAGAGCCCGACTCAGTTGCGTAAATACTCAGTGTCTAATGTTACGTAAAACAGCGGTAATAAGGGATAATTTATTAGATAAGAATTAATCACGAATCTAATTCAATGAGAATACTCGTATTAATGAGATGTTGTTATATTTTTTATTGTAAACTGTGTGTATGATAATGTGACTTATGCAAATCGTCATTTGATCTGCAAAATCAACACGACATATTTTTTTATTATGTCATCTCATTATGTTTGCATAATATGGTATCCAGGAAATAATTTCATTTTAATTCTTGGTTGATTCACTTCTTTCCGTCAGTCGTGGAAAATTATCCTCATTAAAAAATACATATTTTGAATGTATAGATTATTACACAATTTTTTAATGACGTAAAACTATGGTATTCGATTGGTCTTGGTTTTTAAAAAAAATCGGTGCAAATTCAGAACTTCTCATTTCCTAAATTTTTAATTTTGTAATTTTCAAATTTTCCAATGATTTTTCCTAGCTTTATGGCGCGCCATGGTGAAGGATCGATCTTCACAGATCGCGGGCTTCTGTCAGACTGCAAAACCCCCATTAAAAATTAGTTACTGAGAGCGGTCGCTTGCACCTCGTAGAGTTCTTTCACCAATTAAGGCAGTTTTCACCCCGCGAAGACAACCGTGACGAAGTGAAGTCAGATTCCATCTAACGTGAAGTTTTAGAATTATACAAGATATAGTGACTATAGAAACTTGATGGACATCGTAATTACATGTTACACATAACCCGCGCAAAGTAGCCTCGCGTCAGTAAATTTATTGAGTTGTAAACAGTGACAGTGTTTTGTTTGTGCTTTTCTTCTTGAAGAAAGGTGATCCTTTGTGATTATAGATCAGTAAGCACGCACGTGGACGACAACCATGCTCGAACCAAGGATATATACGGTAATTATTATGTACATCGTTACTAAAATATTTTGCTATTCTTATCAATGTGAATTAGATTACACGAGCGGTTATGCGCAAAAACGTTTCTTGTTATACATGTTTGCGTTGAAGTTTTAGGTCTTAAAGATCGCGTTCCTTGTGCGTGAAAATAAAAAATTCATCAATCTGCCTGATTGAATGCAATCATTTTATCAAGTACTATATTTGCATTTGAAACCAGTCGATAAAAACGCAGTATCTTTTGAAGAACAGTGGACTTTGCACAGTACTTTTTTTAAAAGAGTTTATAATTTTAACAGGTATCATTTTTCTTTATTAAAAATCCGTGAGTTGGTTGTTTTAAACGGTGTTCAATTTTACCTGATTATTTTAACTCTTCTTTAAATTCGATGATAAATAAATGTCGAGTAATTCACTTGCAAAGAATGGCACAATTATACGAACACTCTTAATTGATGTTCATCAGCTTACTGCATGTTCGACTTCCTGCGTGTTCGAACTCTGAGACGTTACTGAGATCCCGCAGCATTTCGCGGTTAGTGCAGCTGCGATTGCAGAGAAAGTGTTGAAACGCACTTCCGAGGGGTAATTCGATTGTTGTTCCAAGAGAAATCGGGCAATTCTTTTCAACAAATTAAATGCCTCGAGTGAAAAACTTTTTTCTATCAATTCTCTTCGATTTACTTACTGAAATGAATAGTTGTATGAGATTTAATTTTTTAATTAATCAAAACGGTGAGAACAGATTTCACATGGTGCGTGCATATTTACTTTTATTAACAGGTACTGTATTTAATGTACTACATTATTGTAATCATTTTCTATATTTAATTAATATTTTTGGGTAGGGCATATAAATCTCTTTTATTATATTTTTCAGATTTTAGTGTGTAATTGAAGTACTACATTTGACATACTATATTATTATAATCAATTACTTCATATTAAATGTTGTGTGTACATATGTATGTTAAATTTTTTAAGTAACATTTAAATATGTGGTTGCAAATCGTGTAATTAGTAACTAACCTGCAGGTTATCAATCTGTTTTGTTCTATTTTTAATTTCAGTACTATATTTAGTATACTGCATGTACAATATGATGGTTAATGTATGCAAAACTTTTAAACATTATTAAATTACTATTGTACCTATTTTGTTTTTATATTTATCTGTATTGTATCTATTTCAAATGTTTATCATTTAATGTTGTTATTACAATAATTCAATTAATCAGTTAATTCAGTGCTTGTTATCTGTAATGTTCACTGTGTTACCTCATGTTTACAATTTATATAATTTACTTGGTGCATGCTAAGCTTATGTAGCAGTTCAACAATCTATATTTAAATATCTTTCACTTTTTCTTGTTTTTATGATAATTCATATCATATCTATTATCTGTAATGTACTCAGTATTCCATTTGTACAATTTATCAATATTTGTATAAATTTATACATATATTTATATAAATTTATTAATATTTATATAATTTATATTTATCAAGTGCTACTTAATTCAAATTTACCCGCCATATTGTTAAGAGTCTTGAACACGTTTCTAAGCATTTTCTACTTTAAATGAAAAACAGAAGAATAAAATAAATTGCTTTACAAGAATCACGTAAGAATTAACATTGAAAGAAATGTTTTGCATACAAACAGCATTGCTATATCCATAATGAGTAATCATAAAGGAGAAAACAATCGCAACAGTCTTGAATTGTGCATCCATTACAATCTAATCATATTTTTTCTCTGCAGCGCAGTGCGAGGATTTTGGCGGGAAAATAATTTACAAGAATCCATTTTGTTTTAACAGATAACTTTATTGTTTATATAAAAAAATACCATTATATTACATAAATAACAAACAAAAAATAAGATCATATAAATTAAGAACACGGTTTTAAATGTTTCGTTGATAGCGCAAAATATTTATCCTTATCATGAATATATGTAGGAGGAAATTATCGAGATTTTTCTGTAATGTGTTTATGAAGTATGTACACTATTATCTCTTGTGGATAATTTTTTCACTTGTCAATTTTCTTATATCTCTAGTGTGAATGATTATAAAACTGTACAAAGGCGAAATAAGTATAGCCGTAGATGCGATATAGCAAAATTAAGGATTTGTTCAATGCTTATAGGAAAATTTCCAAATTTTTTTTATACTTACAAACATGAAAGTTTAGATAGCCAGAAATTTTTCTTTATTACAAAATCCCTGAATTTTCAGCTTCTGGACGGTTTTTCGATTTTGCTATGTCGTGACAGAGATTATGTCATGATTCTTACTGCGGAGAAATCAATTTCACATAGATCTGTAACTCCACGTACGCGTCCTACACTAATCACCTTATCTAATTACACACTACATGTCTCGACAGTTGCATCACTGGTACAGTAAGTTCGGAACATAGTGCAATGAAATTACGAAAACAAATGTTTGCGATTCGTAATAAATTAAATCTCATGGTATTATTAGAAAAGACTTATTTAAAGTTATCGCTACGGGAAATGAAAACTCCTGATCATCGAATTAGAATTGAAAGTATGACAACAATATTGATGATTTTCATGTCTTCGTTGTTTGTCGAACTTGCATTTTGCTTATTCTAAATCGATAGCCAGGGCGTACGTGATACGATATGTGTACATGTACGAACGATCCGAAATATTGTCTGATGGCGTGAGAATGTTGCTTGAGATCCCGTTATGTGTTTAAGAAACGGTCACACGGTCAAACTGATATTTCGCTGGTGGGTGGCAGTCGCCAGCCACCAAATGCTTTCTCGATACTTTGAGCTACAGCGATCGTCAAATGATCATTGTCCGTATTTGCAACGATCTGTAAAAAATGGTAAACACAATTAGATTTTGAGCCGTGTAAAAAATAACAATTTTATGTATAAGTATTACGGATAATCATACTTTAATTATGATCGATAATTAATACTCACTTGAACGCCTATGGGTAAGCCATTGCTATTGAGTCCAACTGGACATTGAGTTACTGGTAGCCCCAATACATTGTATATCATCAGATATGTAAAATTAGCGACCTTAGAATAGGCTTGATATTTGTAGTGAGCTGGCGCTATGAATGTAGGATAAATTAAAACTCCATTGTCACCTAACAGATCCTGCAAGATTAAAACTTGTCTTACATTTGTTGATATAGCGAGTGATGATATACAATATGTACTGATAATGATCAAATAACGGTATTTGGAGAGTAGTAATATATGACGAGTGGTGATGAGTAGCAATATATGACGAGTGGTGATATACGACGAGTGGCAATATATAAACGAGTGGCGTTATATGACGCGTGGTAACATATGACACGTGATAACATATGGCGAGTAGCGATATATGGCGAGTGGCGATATATGACGAGTGCTGATATAGCGCATGGAAATATTACGTGTAAAAATACAAAGCGTGATAGTATAACACGTTGCGTCTACACTATAAAAATCTAACTCAGCATCTCCAAATTTACCTCGAATTGTTTCTTCAACGACGTTTTCTTCTCAACCACTTTATTGTGATACGCCGTTGAACGTTTAGTGTTGACCCAACGCACCATTCCATAACAAACAAACGAAAGTGAGCGTAACGACACATGGAATATTAATTTCAAAAATTCCACGAAGATTTTGCCAGAAAACTGCACAAACAGAAACACATCGATTAAGCTGAATTGTTACAGAAGTTCAAAATTGTACGGTTACATACCATGTCCCCAACACTGTCGACATTCAAGTCCAGCAAAAGATGAGATGATACGTCGAAGGCGAATTTCATGTCACTCAATTCTGCCTGGAAATAACGATAGTTGAAAGAGGATTTTACATTTCAGGAATAAGTTATTTAAGTATTCGCACAAACCTTTTGCACTTGCACTCCAAACATTGCCTCAATATGCTTTATCACCCTACGCATCGCATCTTTCATTTCTCCATTGATAGAATTAGTTATTGGGCAGCAGTTGTATAGATAGAAGAACTTTACATCTTTCAGTGATACCTAAGAAAAATTTACTTGCATTTAGTTTCATTCTTTTATTACTTATAGGCTGTAGTTAGGTACAGTAGGCTCTTGTTATATCGCTTGTACTTGTCTTGTCTTGTGGACTTGAGGAGTTGAAGAGTCGGAAATTGAGGAATTTTAGAATTTGGTAATTTGGAAATTTCGAAGTTTGAGAATTTAAAAAATTTCAGATTTGAGATTTAGGAATATAGAACTTAGGAAATCTGAGTATCTCCGAATGCTAAAATTACAAGAGAAACCACGGAATGAATTTGTATATTTAATTTGAACCTTCTGATCAAGACGTTGTCGAACATGGTCCGACTGAGATATGATTTTCATCATAAGCGGAAGATCGTCCGCATATCGTGCCATCGTTCCAAGCGTAAAATAATATGGCCAATTTTTATCAGTCGATCCTGGTTTGTGACCGTGAGTCGACACCAAACCTGCAATAAACAGAATTATTTACAAGACAAAGTTATATGTATGCTTAAAAATAACTTACCAGCCGAAGGTTTATGTCCAAAAATTCCACAAAACATGGCCGGAAGTCTTGAAGAGCCAGCGACGTCCGACACTAAACCCACTAGCGATGCAGCAGAGCTCAAGAGTGCAGCCTGAAATATATGTTTTATTCAATTTTGTGAAGTTGTAATAAAGAATGTAAGATGATTAAAGTACGGACCTCACCACCGGAAGAACCACCACTGTTTCTCCTAGTATCGTAAGGGTTGCAAGTGGTACCAGTCACTTTGTTGTCGGTTTCCCAGAACAAACATAACTCGGGTGTGTTGCTGACGAGTAGAATAATGGCGCCTGCGTCGCGTACCTTTTTCACTATGTGCGCGTCCTCGGAAGCTTCTTCCTTCGTTTTCTTCTTCACTCCGACCCCATATGACATCCCTGGCAACATTTAGGAGATTAACAATTAATAATGTTTCAAGTCGTTACCAAGTTAGGGGAAATATTAACATTTTGAAAATAGTAAACATTTTTTGGTCATTTTAATACATTCAAAGGTTATAGAAATACTAATACATAGAACATAGTCGAAGTCCGACGATTAGAGAGCTCTCAAACGAAACATAGAACAGTGTCAAATAAATTTGTCAAATGTCCATTTGGAGAAAGTTAGGAATTTCCAGTAATGAAACACATTTCATAGGATACCCTGGCTTTGAATTTTTGTTTCTATATATATTATGAAGTCTGAACAGAATAAGTTTCCCTCTGATATTTTCTTGTGTAATAAAAAATAAGGGTTCAAGATGATTCAAGGTCAGTGTAGGTGGAACAGTCTGTATACTCCTCCCTCTCCTAATATTTTCTACTATACATTTACGAAGACAATGTTGTTACAAATCGTCACGAACACCCTGTACATATATATGTAAAATATATAGGGATACCGATTGCCACGGATCTTGAACCCATTCGAAGCAATGTCGATGCAGAACCGGTTTAACAGTTTACGGCGACTCGTATTTTACTCCTGCATGGTGTAGGAGACCTCGTAATGAAACGTTGCGTCCCACATATTTCGCATATTCCATTTTCTCTCCCTTTCCTATTTTATTACCCATTTGCCAATAAAGACGGTTCTAACTAGCAATTCGAATAGTTATGCGATTTCTTTCTGCCTCTTTTTACTACTTTGATACGCATAAGAAATATTCTAATTGTGACACAGATAAATAATCCAAGCGAGGAAAGAGAAACTGTTTTTTTTTAGATGTTTCTTGCTTTAGAAATTTATGACGCGTGACTTTGAGAAGCGTGAGAGTACGAATTTAGAAATTGTTGAAGTTACAAACATGCAAATTTATAATGCTTCTCGTTTAAAAATTTCACGACATTCTAAATCTGGAGACATGGACATTTGGAAATTATTTAGGAATTCAGGAGTCCCGAACTTCCGACTTGTTCAACTTCCAAATCTAGAAATTGCAAAAGCTAGTTACAAAATTCTCAAATTTCGAGATTTTGAAATTCGTTTATTTTAATTGTAAGTTGAAGTAAATTAATGGACGATAAATTAAAACTTCATTATTACTTATTGTTAGAAGACACTTGTTGGTATGAAGTAGAGGAATATAATACTTAGGAATATACATATGTCGCGTGGCGATATTTGACGAGTGCTCATATATGTATATCCAATGGTGGTATTTGGAGAGCGGTGATATATGACGAGTGACGATATATGGCGAGTAGCGATATATGGCGCGTAGCGAAATGTGGCGAGTAGCGATATATGACGAGTGGCTATATATGGCTAGTGGCGATATATGACGAGTAGCGACATATGACGAGTGGCGACATATGACGAGTGGCAATATATGACGAGTGGCGATATATGACCAGTGGCGATATATGACGAGTGGCTACATATGGCTAGTGGCTATATATGGCTAGTGGCGATATATGACGAGTGGCGACATATGACGAGTGGCGACATATGACAAGTGGCAATATATGACGAGTGGCGATATATGACGAGTGGCTACATATGGCTAGTGGCTATATATGGCTAGTGGCGATATATGACGAGTGGCGATATATGACGAGTGGCTATAAATGGCTAGTGGCGATATATGACGAGTGGCAATATACGACGAGTGGCAATATATGACGAATGTCAATATACGACGAGTGGCGATATATGACGAGTGACGATATATGGTGAGTAGTAATATGTGACAAGTGGCAATATATGAGGGGTGGTGATATATGGCGACTGAGTAGCATCCAAAATTACTGTATTCCAAAATTCATTTACGTTGACTGCAAATTACAAAAAACAAATGTAAAACTGACCCTGTACCGCAATGCTTTCTTTGACGGTTACGGGAACACCGAGAAGCGGCATGTCACGGGCCAATTCCTCTTCTGTTTTTGTGGTGCGGGACAGAAACTGGTCCACTTCTTTCGCTTCTAGAGTTGCAGCGTCGAATCGAGATTCTACAATTGCATTCAGAATTGGATTCACGTCTTTGCATCTTTGTATGTACGCTCTGACCACTTCTTCGCTGCTAATCTGTGAGCAGAAATATCGTTTGACATAACAATTTATGCAATACAAAAGTTATTACTCGTTATATATCATTGTTATCTTTATTAAGAATTGTTAAATACTGTTAGTGTATCGGATGTATCTTTATATACATTCGACACTAATATCATTTATAGTACTTTCGTAATTAAATCGTATTAAATGCCATTAGATATTGTTATTATTAGACAAGAAGCAATCAAATTAATATACTGATTCGTTTGAAAGTTGAATTTGAAGAATCTCACATTAACGCAAAAAAAATTGTGATCAAACAGGTAGCAGTGAATAGATAGCAGAATTATTTTGCATTTAAATTTACCCACCTTTCTGCTCCGAATTCGTTTCGCGAGTTCCGTGGCTGAGAGGAAAAGGACATTGCTCTTGATCGGTGGTAATCGTTTCCGTTCATTGAAGCATTGTAATAATGTAAAGGGTATAATCACACAAGAGAGAAGGAACAGTAAGGCCTTAAGTATCCTCTGGGTGATCAGTATCATCGTTTCCTACGGATAAAAAAATCACAAAATTACGCTTTTATTATGACTAATTTTCTATGTGCATACAAAGTTATTAAATTACAAAGAAAAGTATCACAAAGTTATAGGAGGAATATATAAATTCTGTAATATGGATTAACCGACAACAGTGACTATGTATAATTGCTCGATAAATCATGTATGACAAATATAGGAGAAGCAGTCCGTAATTGCTCACTGTTGCACCGGCCATTTAACTTTCTCGACAACTCAATGCCTGCCTTTATCGCCGATAATTATCAATTAACCTTACCACCGATCCCGATAGACCTCTTTGCAAGTAGTAGCATGTCTCCTTTTATTATTCAGATCTCGCGATCTTCGTGAAAAGATAGTTAGCGTTCTCTTATATGTATCTTTTGATCTATGACACGTGTGCCACGATGTTTTTTAATTTTACGCTTTGACGGACGTGTATGCTCATCGTATTGTATTTGCTTCTGCATGTAGCAGATTATTGTATATACAATTATATTTGGAAACTTTTATAACGCGTGCATACAAATCATCTGACTATCTGCATGTGTGATTAACACGTAGTACGACAGGTAGGAATAAAGTAAAAATGAGAGAACGAAGAGACACAAATAGGAGATGACAAACTGCTGATGTATTCAGGCTCGCATATTTTATCGAGTCCCTGTATTTTATGATTCTGTATTTTCATAATATTAAAATATCTAATCTCTTATAGGTAGAAATCTTGATATTCTATAATTAATCTGTATATGTACATTTTTGAAGTTCTACATTTTTACATTTCTATATTCTTCAATTTCGATCTTCTTAAATTTCTACATTTTTAAATCTTTAAATTTCTCAGTTCCTAAATTTTTTAATTTCTAAATTTCAAAATCCTTGAATCCTCAAACCCCTAGATCCCCAAATTCCTACGTCACCAAATCCCTAGATCACCAAATTCCTACATTACCAAATCCCTAGATCCCCAAATTCCTATATCACCAAATCTCTAGATCTCCAAATCCTTACATTCTCAAATTCCTAGATTACCAAATTCCTAAATCCTCAAATCTCTGATCCCCAAATCTCTAGATCTCCAAATTTCTAAATCCCCAAATCCCTAGATCCCCAAATCCATAAATCCCCAAATCTTTACATTCCTAATCTTCGTTTTCTAAAATAAAAAATTGTTGTATTTTTACATTTCCAAATTTTCAATTTGCTGAGTTAGATTACTAAATTACTAAATTACCAAGTTGTATAATTTGTACAACTTTGCGTCAGAAAGGCAAGTTTTTCAAAAGAAGAGAACAATTTGTATCTATTAAAGGATATTGGACGTGAAAGGGAACGTAAACGCATGCTTTTCCTTAAATTGACTTGTCCCATATTTGCTTGGCCGCGATCGCGGTTCGTTCTTAAAACCTTTGCAGAATGTTATTAAGTCATTGACGCTTTGAGAAAATTTTTGTTTAAATTCAATAGAAATTTAAAATAAGTATAAGAAAAGTGTAATGGAAAGAAAGTATGGATATTAAAAAGCATAAACAATAGATAAAGTAAAAAGAGTTAAATATTATATGAATTTCCCAAAAGAATATATCTAATAATTAATTAAATTACATTTGTACTGCCAAAGGCCGTAACATCAATTTGTTAATAGCGATAACCCAGGCTAATAATTTCAATCTCCTTACTCACCATAGTATTAGCCATCAGTTTAAGATGTATCATTGGTAGAACGCATATTAACGTCTCCATGATTGTTGGAATTATGTGATCGATTATGCAATTATTCTCCTATTTCTCAAGAAATTAATTGGTTCTCCAAGTTCAGCGTTTCCTGCTAAATTAATTGCATCGATGAACTTCAATACACACACACTGATGCAGTGCTGGATATTTTGTTGAGATTAAAGGTCAAAACGTTACTCATTGACGTAACTATCAAATAAGATAAACCTAACCTCGGTAATGAACATTGAACAACCTCGTTATCTTACTACACTGCACTTTCGTTATATCGCCGATGGACACTGTATAAAATTGCAATTTCAGAAAATTCCCGAATTTGGCAATATATTGAATTGGTCGAAGGATATTCGTTTTTCACCGAAAAGTATTCACTGATTGCTGTACGCGAAAGCGTATGCAAAAATGGCGATATAAGAAAACTATCAAAGTAAATGTTCGAATTGTAATACAATATGTAATATAATTAGGAATGAAAGATTATCGATAGAAATCACGTGTAAAATTTATATCAGAATTATGTCATTTATGGACACTTAACATTTCTAGTAAATATAGAAAACTAGTTCTATTCTAGAAAAAAAAACAGTTACGCCCATGGTACATCGTGGCATTTTTTGTCTCGTTTGTTTTAACTACGACTTTTTTATCAGTGAGATTTATTTTCATTTTTTTATTATACATTTTCATAACAAAACATTTTGATTTATTAATGTGTTTATTGTTTAAAAGTTATTTGAACGTTTGCAAATAATGTCAGTGTTATCTTTCTTCTCTACTTATTTAATGTTTAAGCTATCTTTCTTCTTCTCCAGTATTTATTATCATAATTTTCTTATCAAACTTTGATTTTATATTTTCCGCACTTTTCGTTTGTCTTCTACCGAATTCAGCGTATCATTTGTACAACTTTCCGTTCCGGAAATACCGCTTTTTATTTACGATCGTGTTAAATGAACTCGTGTGAACTCGGAAAAAGAAAATTACTATGTTGTATTGTCCGAATGGTACATTATTTCAGTAGTCTGAGCGCGGACTAAGCCGGCTCGTAACGCTTACAGCATACTTAAATGAAAAATCATAATGGTGGGGCGTTTCGCAAAACCCTCGACGACCTTCTGCAACTAGTAAAAGAGAACTTGCGATCGAAAACTGGTAACTACCATCAACCAGTCAATCAACTGGAGTAACATATTGCAAATCAACGACCTATACCGAATACCTTCACTATTAAAATCAATGACGCAACATCAATTAAGATAAAGAAAAAGATGCAATTAAAAGAATATTAAAACATACCGCACGATCAACCGAATATTGAAATGTCATGTATATAAAAATTTTCAACGAAGTGTAGAAAATTATTGACACATGATGCGTATTGTTTATACGATAAGAGACGACGCACCGTGTGCGTCTAATAGATCGATCAAAATTAAAGTAATGGAATATAATCTGATATAATGCGTGGCAATATAACATGTAGTGGTATAATGTGTCGTGATGTAACGCACGATATAAAATGTGGCAATATAACGAGTAGTGGCATAATGTGTCGTAATGCATCGTGCGGCGATATAACACGAGATTATAATAAGACATCGTAATGCAACGCGCGACGGCATAACATGTGGCAATATAACGCGTAGTAACATGACGCGTTGAAATACAACGCGCGGCGATATAACGCGAGGATATAATAAGGCATCGTAATGCCACGCGCGGCGATATAATGTAAGGCTATTATAAAGTGTCGTAATGCAACGTGTGGCGATATAACACGTGGCAATATAACGTGTAGTGACATAACGCGTTGAAATACAACGCGCGGCGATATAATGCGAGGATATAATAAGGCATCGTAATGCCACGCGCGGCGATATAACACGTGGCAATATAACGCGTAGTGACATAACGCGCTGAAATACAACGCGCGGCGATATAACGCGAGGATATAATAAGGCATCGTAATGTTACGCGCGGCGATATAACACGTGGCAATATAACGTATAGTGACATAACGCGTTGAAATACAACGCGCGGCGATATAACGCGAGGCTATAATAAGGCATTGTAATGCTACACGCGGCGATGTAACGCGAGGTTATAATAAAGCATCGTAATGCAATGAGCGGCGATATAACGCGTTGTAATATAACACATGGTAGTACAACGCTTTGCTTGACTTTACAACACATTACAACATCGATGTATTGTATTAATAATTCTTGAGTTTTAATTAATATTTAATTAGCTTTACAATCATTATCAATCGTTACCCAAAAAATAATAAAAAATATTAACTTATCGATAAATCTAATAACGTGAAGAAAAATGAAAGTCGATATTGTTCCACCGATAGTACTAATTACAAAAGGGAATACCAAGAAACGCGTTACGGTGAAGTCGGTAAAAGCTGATAATCGAGTTATTGACACTCCTTATTTTCACATTAAATTCAATCGACCTTCGTTTTGTCGCTGTCACGTCAACTTGACCTTCCACCATGTAAATCAAAGGGGACTGATTTCTTTCATGTCTTTTATGGTGATTAACGGGACTCCCGATAATTATGTTTACATTGAATCAACTTCGGCGAGTAGTACGAGTTATGTTTTAATTTTCATCAACGATGACTCACGCCACTACGTGAACTTTGATTGAACGTCTTAAAAGTACCTTCGCACGTTTGATCGAAACGAGCATTCTTTCAGAGTACTCGTAAACGGTATTTCGTAATATTTATCGGTTTCCTGTTTCGGAGTTGTGGGATCTTCGCTCGAGAACTAAGTGAATCCTTGATCTTTTCTGTTTTCTTGAAACATGCGCTTGAGCTGCAACGGCAGCTTGTGGTATTCTTCTGTTTCGTTAATATTTTCGTTCGTTCATGTCTTTTGTGCTTATCGAGGTAGATTCATCACTTGATTCATCAGACTTGTATTAAAAAATATATAATTTCATGAAGGAAGATACCTTCATTAGATAATTTTCTCATTGAAGTCATGTAACTTTTGTCTAGCAATAAAACATTTGTATTATCCACGTTTTCGAAAATATATGAGTGTATCGATTTAAATAAGATACGTTGTATATTTTTGACATTCGTAACGTATCCCCTTCAACTCGAACATTTTCATCGAACCTAACTCAACAACGAAGAACGCAAGGATTGCACCATCTTCTCGAAGGACGAACGGTATGGAATGAAGAGTTTGTCTTGGAGTATGGTGTTGCAAGTTTGCAAATACGAGGACGATCGATCGCCATCTTTAACGCTAACTGCATCTACAGTACATCTTAACAAGTCCCTACATGAATCAAAACAATAGTAACTCCCAAAATTATTAGTGAAAACGTTGCTGGAGACCAGAGTTGATTTAACCTTCTCAAAGTGTGGACCTATTATTTAATTAATTATCAGTGTGATAATTTTATGTTTGTTATGGTTGTTACACAAACTTTCAATTTTAAGACATCGACTTGTCAAATTTTTAATTTTATAAGTATAGCATGTTTGGTGTTCTTTAAGATTTTCCATATGTCACTTATCCTATGTATGTATACATATGTGTATACGTACGTGTATGTTATGTGATGTATGTGTATATGTATGTATGTATGTATGTACACTTATCTTACATACGTGTGCATATATGTATGTATATATGTACACTTATCCTATGCAAATTTATAATTATCCGATGAACACATATGTATATGTTACAGATTATGATATATTATACAAATTATGTATTATACAAATGCACGTATACATGTACATATATAAAATTCTTAAAGTTTATATGTATTTGTATATTTGGTGAACGTCATATGTTATCAACGGTATATGCAGCATTCAAAGTGATAATTACACAATTCTTTGCACATTATTTACTTAAACATTTCGACGGATTCTTGCGTTGCATTCTATTGTAATCAAGAGCTGTTACTGCGTCACAATTACATATGTAAACCACGTTCATTCGTGAAGTGTTTATAACCGAACGTAACGCATGCATTACACGAATGGCATTGAAAGCAAAATTAACTAACAGCGAAACTTTCGATGAGCAATTAGAATGCTTAAGATGTTACAGCTGCGATTGACTTTTAAATTTCAGAATTGGAAATTTACGAAATTTCAGAATTCGGGGACGTGTGAACTGAGAAGTTTAGAAAGGGAGGTTGCGAATTTTGTTTTATGAGTTTGGGAATCGGGGAACTTTGGAATTTGGGGTTTTTGGGATTTGAAGCTTTCAGAATTGGGAAATTTGGGGATTTGGAGATATAGGGAATTTTGGGATTCGGGGCTTTCAGAATTGGAGAATTTTAGAATTTGGGGTTTTGGGGATTTGGAGAATTTTAGGATTTTTGGGCCTCTCAGAATGGGGGGTTTTGGGATTTGAGGAATTTTGGACTTTGGAGTTTTCAGAATTGGGGAATTTTAAGGTTTGGGAATTTGGGAAGTATGGAATTGCGGAATTAGGGAATTCGGGAATTAAGAAATCAGGGAATTATGGAATTTTGAAATTTTAAGGATTGGGAAATTGAGAAATTAGAAAAGTCTCAAATTTTAAAATTGGAGAATTTTTAGTTCGGTGGTTGAGGAATTGGGGAAATTGAAAAATTGTTTGAATTTTGAAATTAGAAAATTTTCATCGATTCTACAAAGAACCAGATCCATCCGCTCCTTCAGTAACCAACAAAAAACCGAAGAATCTTAAGGCATTTACCAAGAGATGCAATTGAGTTACGCAATACGATTGAACAACTGTATTATGAAATTCAGTTTATCTCAATCGTATCTCCTATTATGTCAGAAATTATAGACGTAGTTCTTTGAAATAGGTAATGTGTGTGATTACACGAAGCACGCTAATGAATCAAAAAAAATAAAATGTTACGAAGACACCACAAATCATTAAAGCTACTAATGGGTTTACAATGATCGATATGATCAATGCACATAATGTACTTTTTTTAATTAAATCCTTATGGTATGCGATTCACGGAAGATGTTAAAACTCCACTTGTCTATATTTATTTTGAATATGCTTGGTCAGTAAAGAGTATTTATGTTGTTAGTAAAGACAGGGGTAATAGTATGGAATTAATACGATGTTGATAAATTAACCACATTAAGAGTAATGTAAGTTGTATTTAAGGATCAAGTCTAGTAATAAAAGAAACAACTGAGTTGAATGTTCTCGTGCAGTGACTTGCAAAATCTTGGCAAACTCTGTTTATCTCATGTTCCTTTGGTTAGAAGCGACAATAGATGATTTCCAAAAAAGCGTAAAGGTGATTTGGGAAGATTTTGATACCAAGAAGCAACATTGTGTCATGCACTATTTTCAGAGATATTTTTTATACAGCACCTAAAAAATATATAGAACCGGATTTTGGAATTTTGCTTTTAAAATTTTATAACGAACAGAATCATATAAAAACATTTTTTTAATAAGTTTTTAAAATTGTAAAATCCGGTTCTATTTGAGAAAGAAGTATGATAACATTTTGGTTTAAAAATCTTTATTGCTCAGACATAGTTTTGCACATTTTTGTAAACCAAATGTCGCTGTCACTTTTGGTTAAAGTAACAAGATAAACAAACATCGGAGGTTATCAATTTTTTAAGTATAATTTTTGAAGTATACGGTCATTGCACTTGACCCTTAATCCATTCACGGCCAACGAGGCATCTCTAGATATCTCTGATCAATTAAATATTATATTTTGTAAAAATCTGCTTTTCTTAAAATAAAATCATAGTGTCCAAGAAAAAAGAGCACTAAATTTGACTAGCAGAATGTATATATTTTCCTTAAAATAAAACGATGGCGTCCAGAAAAAAAAGAACTCTAAATTTGACTAGCAGAATATATGTATTATCCTTAAAATAAAATCATGTCACCCCCCAAAGAAGAGCCCTTTTGTCTGACAACATCTACGTATTTTACCTACGAATAATATCATGACGTCCATGGAAAAAGAACCCTCAACTTAACTAGCAAAATCTATGAATTTTTATTAAAATAAAATGATGGCGTCTAGGAAAAAAAGAACTCTAAATTTGACTAGCAGAATAATATGTATTATCTTTAAAATAAAATCATGTCACCCCCAAAGAAGAGCCCTTTTGTCAAACAACATCTATGTATTTACCTAAGAATAATATCATGGCGTCCAGGAAAAAAGAACCATAAATTTGACTAGCAAAAAATCTGTGTTTTCCTTAGAATAAAATCACGTCTCTCAAGGACAAAGTCTTCAAATTTGACAGGCATTGAATAATGATAGCAGTCGATGGCGATGACTCGCAGCTTCCCTATTTGTAATAACACGATCTTCGATTGACCTCGAATTTAAAAATTGCTGCGAATGGAACTCTCTATGTCACGCAACAAGTATTTAAAAGCTGTTTAATCAGCAATGATCGATACAGCCGTGTTTCGGTGCGGTAATAAGACAAGATCAAAAAAATAAATGTCAAAATTATGGAAATATGTCACTCGACTTTTTACTTGTCCCGAAATAATTTCGATAGAATGCTTCATAGCTTTTTATTTATATATGCGAGTCATTAAGAGAGGATTAAAATATAATTTGATCGTTTTGAATAATTATTCAGAAGTCTCGGAATATTGAGTGGCGGTGTTTTATAAACGATGACCACAAAAATTTTGTAGGAAGTAAAAAGTGGGAAATTGAGTAAATTTTTGCGGCTCGAATTGATGTTGTAATTGTGTTACGAAAATGTTGATTGTTTGAGTGTAAAATTTTGTGTTGCAAGTGGATATGAATGATGAAGTGAAGAATATTGAATTTTAGTTGTACACTGCTCTCTTTTCCGGATTACACTTTTACCTTCTACTTATGGTTGTCCTTTCTTTTGCTGCAACTTTCTTTCGCCACAGTACGATATTATTGTGTTTCTTTAATTATAATATGTTGATATTTAATTATATTACATTATACTATAGTGTATTATATTATTTACAAAGTGTGTAACATACCCTCGACTGCATTTTACCAACTTCGACTCCTATCTTCCAGTTTGTATGATCTTCCAACTCTTCAACATTCGATGCTGAGCCTTCTGCAGCCTCTCTTTAGGCTAACATATCTTATACAAATTTTACAAAATCGTAAATTTAAAAATTTGAAAGTTCCAACGTCAAAAAATTATGAAGTCCCACGGTTCGGAACTTCTCGCACTAGCAAAATTCCAAAATCTCAAAATCCCACTGTCTCAAACTTCCAAACTCACAAAGCTTTACAGCCACAAAATTCTGAAATGTTCCACGATTCCAAAACGTCAAAATCTCGCACTGACAAGATTTCTACATCCGCGACCTGGAGACTTTACTATCTGGCACTCGCAAATTTAAAAATCTCAAAGTCTACGGTCTCGAAACATTCTCTCAAAATTCTAAAATTCCAAAGCTCCACGTTGCCGAGACCTCAAAGTCTCTCAAAATTCCAAAATCCCAAAACACCGCAATCCCAAAGCTCCCAAAGCTTCAAAGTCACAATTGCAAAATTTAAACATCCGAAAACCCACGATTCCAAAACCTCGAAGTCTCAAAATCGAAGAGTTGCAAAACTGCGAAGTATCACGGTCCCAAAAGTTAGACCTAACGATTTTTCACTCGCGGAGGAATCTCGAAAAATGAAATCTTTGAGCGGTCGCAACTTTCTCGACAACCAAATTTATCATCTGGGCCAACTGTTCGTCCGTGTCGCTTTCTCGAGTCTCTTCCGGCCAAACTCTCTTCTCCCTCTCTTTCGCCGGCTAATGTTTGCTGCACGTCGCGTTTTGTCGCGTGAAAGAGGAAAGTAAAGGAGAACAAATTCGGAACCGTGAAAATAAGGCGAACAAATTTCCTCGGTTTGCTTTATTCGATGCGATGTTAGTGCGATCGTCACTTACTCTCGAATACGTTTAAAAAAGAAGATACAGTAAAGTTTTGATATTTGATGTAAAGTTTTTAAAATTGATATACACGATGTAAGTGAAAGAGATAGACAGTAAGTGTAATTTATGTAAACAAGATATAAACGAAATGTTATCGCCAGCACTGAAGAAAAGACTGCGAATAAGACCGTATCAGAAGGAAGACCACTTATCAAAGCAAAGTTCTCGATATATGCGAAACGCTCGGTACAAATATGTATTCCGAATTACGTCATGTTTGACCTCGTTTTAATTAGAAAAGCGTCACAAATGTGTTGATGAAAGTCTCGTAAGAAAAGAATTAGAAATGAAGAAATTTCATCTTGCATTAGGATTGCACCACCGATATGTTACTGTTTGTTATGTTCGGTAGTTAAACGTTTTCCTTGCTCGTCTTTATGTTCGGAAAAGATCGATGTAAGAATTATACGATATAGGCGAAAGTTCAGACTCGATTCGCTTATATCGAGACTTTATGCAAAAATTCGATGTCGCGGTGTCCCCTGAACAGAAGCGATGGGACGCGATGTCGTGGTGACCGGATACGGTGAACGGTAAATCCGAGACTAATTCGTGAACACCTCCGACGCTTGAATACAAAAAGAAAACGGTTTCCAACGTACTACAGAGTGGGGTAAATGGATTCATGTTGGCATTCGTTCGGATAAAGACAAAGGTCTTTCTTCTTCTTGATAATAGCATGAAAATGAGGTTGGAAGTAACATGCGAGCATTGGGACTGTTGTAACGGAGATAATCAGTCATGACTGACGTAATATTTCTATGTCGATAAGTCTTGCTGCAATTAATACGTTATTATAGATATGCAAAATTACAGTCATATGTTATTTGTATAATGTCCTAAAATTCTATTTAGGACATTAGCTCTAAAATTTCCAAATATTCAAATTCTGTAATTGCATAATTACAAAATTTTAGTATTTCAATGTTTACATTTAAGAATTTCAATGTTTCAACAGATTCCAACACTTCAGAGATACCTCGTACAAGAATAGGGCTGAGAAACAGTACGTAAAAAAAAATTAGTATAAATTAGCAGCGTTTCCAGTAACCAACGTGTTTAGAGTTACCGAAGTAATTAACGCACCGTTCGCTTCATTGTCACCCTTTGAAATTTACATTCGAACAGTTTCGCTGACGAGATTTCTAGCTGGCTGGTTCGACGAACAATCGGTGTCGGAAGGGTTCCTTTTGCGCGTGCAACTTTCTGTTCCTCGGCAGGCGCAACGCTGAAAATTGCGCGCTAACGTTTCGTAAAGCTATCAACAAAATCGGGAAGGAAGTTGCGAATGCGCGTTGCTCAAACACCGTAACGTTGCAAAACATTTCATGAAATTCTCTAGACTTGTTTGTTGCCCGTTCGTTTGGAGAACTTTTAGTACATAATTATTTTTAACGGGAGTCAGATCCTTATAACATCTTCGTTGGTAGCTTCAATATGACGAAGTTATACGTATTATCTTTGTTAAAATAGTCAAATTTTTACTTGGGAAATCTGTCATCCTAGTAAATCTAAGGATCTAGTAACTCTTAAGGTCATAGGAATGATCTGGTTTCCATCCTTCATGTCATTTTCCTAAAGAAATGTGGACTGCACATAATTGAAAGAAAAGTCAAAACGAATAAGAATACAACATTGGTTCCTGGTTATGCGTGAGCTTTCGTTTATTTGAGAAAAATATTATTTACATTGCACAGATATATCACTAGCGTCGTTAAAACAAATGGACAATCGATGTTCTGAAAGCTCTTCATGTTAAAGTTCTTTACTTTTTCTGGAAGAATAAAAAGACAAGACTCAAACTCATCATATACGCAAATCAGCTTTTTCTGTATAAATTATGCAAAGTATTGTTGAATAATTACACGAGCGTTTATCTGTCTTCCATTTTTTTATAAAAAAAAACATCTATCAATTCTTTTTTTGAACCTCTATCGACGTCTTAATAATACATAATTTTAGCATGCTTACTATCACAAACAAACAATAGCAAGTGATTGTTATGATAACGTAAATTACTATTGATTTTATAAATAAATGTACAAATTAAATAATCAAGTTCAAATAATGTAACTTTTTTAGCTACACTGCTTTTAAATTATGTAGTTAAAAGTGACTTGTACGTATTAATCAGTTATAAATGCCGTGTTTATAAGTGTATTGAAATGCAATGTAAATTTATGTTTGATAATCTTATTATGATTCAAATTTCAGCGCGAGTGATTGGAGCGCGTATACGCATGCGCAAACGTAGGCGCGATTTATAAAAAAATACGCCCGCCGTTTCTTTTCTTTTCGCAGTTAATAACATTCATCAAACGCAATAATCTCCTGTTTCGAATTATTACTACATATATTTTAATAATTCAACTAAATAGAATTCGTCATAATTTATTAAATTTTAAAAACTTGTTAATTCCATGTTTCAAAATAAAAAAGACGCTCGTGTAATCCTAATGAAAGTTCCTTTATCTCACTATAAAAAGAGCCTTCAGTAAATAAAATAAAACGATCCCTAAAATCGCAACAGCGTATAATTTAAAAATATTAGATTTACAAAAACTCGATCTAAATATAAATAATGTCGATTTGGCGGGAGAATAGGATTTGAATAATCGTTTCGTTCGTTCTGCGCATGTCGTTAAGTTTCTAAATTTTTAATTTCTGTGTTTCTCCGTAGAAGCAGCTGCCCTCTAGCTCTTTCTCGAGCACTTGATCTCCCATGCGTCTTCTCATCATTCGTCTACTTTATCCATTGTATACGATTAATAATATTGAAAGCAAATCCTGGAGTAGGTCACTTGAGATGCGAAAATGACTATTGCTCTCTCCAAATTGACAATACACGAAAAAAAAACAGAAACAAATTTTTCATGCGATTTGTCCAAAAACGTAACAAATATCAGATTTATGTTTTTTTAGTCAAGAATTATTAAAATGATTGAAATGTATGTTAACAATAATTTGTTTAGCGCTGTGACACGGTACATCGTGTAAAAAAATAGTACAGTAGACTCTCGTTATATTGCCACCTTCCGACTTTCAGGTATAATAGTCTCAGTATTCAAATTTATTAATTTCTCAACTTTTAAATTGAGAAATTTCAGTTTTTAAAAGTTCCACTTATATTAGCCAAATGTACATTCTCCACACTTTCATCTCTGTGCAGAACCATATAGTAAAACTGCAATATATTGCTAACACCAAGAATTTCACACTTCTAGTTGGGTGGCAATATAACAAGAGTCTACTGTATATCTATAAATAGCAATAAAGGCGTTAGCGAGAATAATATTAATAATACTAATCGTAATAATAGTAATAAAAGTAATTTATAACAGCATTACACGCGTGTAAAATAATTTCTAATTGACAATGCTATTCAATGATCTCTCTCTCGTAAGAAGAAAAAAAGAAAAAGTTATTATAAGGTACGCAACTCTCCGGTCCTCTTATTAAGTACTGAATACAATATTATCGTCGATACGAGCCATTATTATTGTTAATTATATACGTTTTACATTCAACGCGACTGTAAACACCGCAAAAGGCATCCTAATGACCGTCCATCTTTCTGTTTTTTTTTTTCTAACTTTTCTCCCTGCTCTGCAATCGGTTAAATATCGTTATGGAAAAAGCTATTCGTTCGTTCTTCTATACGTTGTTTATAATAAAATACATCTATATTATTCAATCCTGGACCTCGTGAAATTTCTCATTGATCCTCGCGATTTACATGAAAAAATTGTATCACATGAACGTTACAATGGGCCTCGTCTCTTGGTATTACAATGCTGAAAGACACAAACAGAAGCTTCCGGTTTCCGGTGCGTGAAAGTTTCGTTTTAAAAAAATAACGTGTTTTAGATCTACCGCGATTACGGGTTCTTACATGAAGTTACAAATTTTTTATAAACATAAGGCTGAGCCATTGTATTTCTTTAAATTCGCAACTTTCAGCTCACTGGATATCTAGCCGGTTTACAGATAAGTTTCGCGTTTACAGATAATTTGTTAAATGCATAAAAGATACAAAGAAATGCTTCCGTAGAAGATTCTTTAAGTTTTTTATTTTGCAACACTTAACGCTTTGAAATTCTAGGAACAGCAAAAGTTTAAATTTAGAGCTTGTATTTAAAATGACACGAGTGCGAAATGCTGCTTCTATTTCGAATCTCAAAAAGTATGCTGCAAACAAATCTAATTCATAATAGAAAGATGCCGTTTCAATGGTTCTGTTATTCAGCTTATAAAGACTTTACATATGAGAAATATATGTTAATAAATACGATTGCATTTTATATACAATTAACAATAATCAATTCTAAATGTCAGATAAACAATATTAAAAAGGTATTACTACATTTCTTTGTATCTGTTAGGATTCAGTCATTGCGTTATGCGACACTTATCTTGAGACACGCTGTCCGTTAAAAGCAAACTTATTTTCTATGATGATGCGCAATGACCTCTCATCCTTCTATCATTGTCTTCTTTCAAATGACTATTTACATTAATAGCGGTGCAAAAGCTTGCTTATAATTTATTCCTCCCCACATAAAGATATAGCTCTTTACACAACAAATGCAAACTCTGATCAGCAGATCACAGCGAAGGGCAGAGTGTAAACAGAAAACGTGTGAAGAGTATTTCTAGTTACAAAGCGAATACAAATGCATCCGTTTAATACTTGAATGCAACAGTGCGGTTCGCCGTATATGGAAACAGTAAACATCGTAATATAATATCATATATATTAACATCTGGTCTCCTAAAAGCGAGGAAACTATCGTACGTAGCTGAACGCGCTATAAACGAATATGTATCCTATCTGATATTTTTATCAAATTACTCTTATTAGCGAAATCAATCACGAAAACGTGCACACTCTCGTATGTTATCATGTGTCACGTTTGTGTATATTGTTATGTATATTTATATGCAAAAAATTTGCCTTTTGCGTTTCTCCTGGGATACCCTGTATCCATCGAATCGATTCGAAACCAGTGATGGTCAAATGTCTGCTGAGTTTGTAGTCACAGATATGCATAGTGCGTGCAGTGATGAAATGTAAACAAAATTTAGAAATTTGATAACTGAATAATTCAGTAATTTGAAAGGTATTAAATTTAAAAAATTTTTAATCTGAAAATACAGAAATTAAAAATTTACAAGTTTTTAAATTAAGAAATTGACTTCCTATCGATGCCTGCACTTGCACGGCCCTGCAACCGCGCCCTCGCATGCGCTGTTGCCCATCACTGTTATAAACCATAAAAAACTGCTTGATCAAGTAACAGTTGTATCTTAAAACAAAAGCATTAGAAAAATCTTGTGCTGCTAAAAGAACGTACAACTTTGACGAAATGAAAGAGTTACTAAAATACATGAACAATTTTCCCAGTAATACAACGCAAACGGCTCAAATATAATACGCACTTCTAAAGTAGAATAGACTCAAAACTCACTCGTACAAGGGTGTGAATAAAATCCCTATCTCTATAAATAATTTCTATCAAGCGCTTAACACGATAATAATCGTCCAAACTAATTACATAGTACGAAATAATGTAGTATTAACTTAATAACTTTATGTACCAACAATGTGCAGTTAGCAATGATATAAACGTTATTTCCTGATCGTAAAATTTATTCGATAATAAAAACGCAACGTTTCAAAATTGTGTCGAGTGAAAACGGCTAACGGTAGCATTTTATTTCTCGAACATTTACGCGTACCTCGTTTCTACCTATAAAGTAATGGTACTTTTTAATGTTTTACAATAAAATTATATCACGTAACAGCTCAAAATAGTATTAACAAACGATGAGGATAGAAATGTGAGACCGAGTATCATCGTTGTTTAAACATTTTTATAAAGCTACATCTGTTCCATAGCCGATATGAATTAGTCTTTTTGTGTGTGATCCACGCTGTGATTTGCATTTTTCAACTAGAGCGCGTTTGGAACATTAACTTTTAAATATAAAAATTGACTGCGTATAATAAATTATAATTTATGATGAAATACTTTGATTAATTAAAAAAACAACACTTTCTGTTCAAATTATGAAACAAAGCGAGTACTATGATGTGTACTGGATGTATAACTATTTTACAAAAGTCTACATTAATAATCTTCACCCCCCTAACTCCTAACCATCTATCAATTCTTGCTTCGCAAATGGTCAAAAATCTTTCCTTTCCGAGCATTATTTTCAATCGAATGTCCGCAATTTGTTATAAAACGTATCAGTCACTTCTTTTCTTATTAATGAATAAAATATGTTGTATTATAACCAGTAAATCCTGGTCCGAGGCATAATAATCACGTTAGCAATGATTGGGTTAGATAAATAACATGCGCGGTTACACGTTCGTTAAAAATATAGCACGGGTGAGATTCTTTGGAGGAGTTTTAAACCGATGATCGTGATCGTTCATCGGGCATCTTTCGCAGTTAATTTCTCTATTAGTTCTTGCAACGGCGCTAATTCTCTTCTCTCTATCAAGTTAAATTCCTGCAATAAAAGCAAATAAAATAAAAACATTAGAAGGATATCATTTAAGTATTTAATATTTTACATTGATTTGATTATAGCTCCTTTACCTGTACAAAAAATATGAAATGTTTAAATGATGTATTTAAATGTGCCTCTTCTCCAAGTTGTACAACTTCACTGAAATGTTGGTGGTAGATATGTGCGTATACTCTAAACAACCGTTTTAGTATTGTCTTGGCAATGGACAAGAAGTTTTTCGGGAAAGGGACTCCTGTAAAACCAACATTTTTATTGAAATATTAATAAAACATATTCTATTGTTAATAAGATAATACATCATTTACCAATTTTTGAAGGAAATAGTGTTTCATCATCTAATTGATCCTGCACCCAGGTCATTAAATAATCAATGTACTTTGGTGCAGAACACTTAATTGGTTTCTTAACAGTATGCCCATCAGCCCAATGGTATTCATATTTTGGCCCTGCAGACATGATGGGACAACTTTCTTCAGTGCAGAACTCCGTAATAGTACCATATAACATGTTGATTTGATTGAAAAAATCAACAGCTGAAACAAGAAGCAAAATGATTGAACCATTGCGGAAATAAAATATATCTTTGCATATGTTAATTACGTACTATTTACTGCAACCCATTCGTTCAAATCTTCACCCTCTGGAAGCATGACTGCTAGTCTTAGGTTCCCAGAACCAAGGGTGGCAGCTGCATGTTTCATCAAGTCATATTGATGAGTTCCCTCAGGAATATTCTTCTTTGGTTTGAAGGTTTTCGAAGACCTGCTTCCACTTAACAAATTTATACAAATATTTCTCAGCAATGGTTCATTTTTCAAAAATGCTATATTAAAAAAGATTACATCATCACACTGAGATAATATCATGCTCCATGTTATATTAATACATATATCTTTATCTGTAAATCAGAATGCCTCACCTACAGAGTAAAATGATAAAAATTTATATTCTAAAAATATGTTAAGAACTTTTGGTTTGTTTGTATACTGTAAAATAAAAATGAAAAGTATGTGTATACATCAGAACATCAGGGTTAGGTTAGTTCGGTGTTAGGTTATGTCAGGTCAGATCAAGTTGGATAAGGGTTGGGTTAGGTCGTGGTTAAATTACATTGTAGTTAGGTTAGTATCATACATAACTTTGTATTTATACATTCAAGACTGATACGTACATAGGAAATTATATTTATACCAAAACTTGAAATATATAATCGATTATACGAATCGAACAGGACAAGATGAACATGATAAAAGAAATTGAATGAATTGCATAAATAATAAAAATTACAAAACTAAAATAAGTGTAAAGAAGTGATTGATTTTCAGGAATCACTAAAAACTTTCTCAACGTCATATTATCAGTATGTTGCAAATACATTCTACTTCCTTAGTGCGACGTAGATAAGAAATGTCTGTACTGATAAAGTTGACGTGCGATAAATAAGTGCGCGTGCAACGGCCGCGAGTGAAAGCGGCGAGAATAAGAGAGCAAGATCATAGAAAACGAAGATTTTTTAAAAAGAAATTATGGCATCGCGCTATTTTTAGGTATCCAGCGATTGGTCGATCGTGATGTACACGAATTCAAGTACATCGGGTCGAGAACCTAAATTAGCCAACGGGCAGGCGAACGGGACTGGTCAAGCGATTTCTGTCAATATTTGTTCTCATTGTGACCGGTTCACAGTAATAAATTACCGATTGTCCATCGTTGTCATTTGTCAATCGCGGGCGAGAGCATTGAACGATTGGATGATTAATCGGCAGGAAAATGTTTGCGAAAGAGGATGTTTGTATAATTTATTTCGTAGCTTAGTCAACACGGAATATTAACGAAGTTAAGGTACACTAAAGGATAGTTGATCTTCATTTGAAATGAAAAAAACACTTACAATAGGAAGCTCATCGTGCGCTCGTGGATGACCTGTCGATGAAATTCAATTTACGGCCACACAACTGTACGTGTCGTTGATTTATCTTCGTACTATACAACACTACAAGATTCGGCTGCCGACGAATTTTCTTAAAATCAACCATGCATTCACCCACGACAGCACTGTGTAGACGGTTTGTCAACTACCTTCCCTACGATCTCTCCCAACTTCAATCCTTCCAGTACCGAACGGGATTCTACTTGGATTCAGTCACGACCTCTGTCCAGACGTGACTGCAGACACACTTTATTTTTCTATCACTTGATGATTTATGCTATCTCTTTATTCATATATTTAGAAAAATATGTATTGAATTCAACCGATATACTGTTAAAACACCTATAGTCTAAATGTTTTACTATATTCAACACGATCGATATAGTATACTCTGTTCCACGAGAGATGTACTAACTAAGCTACGAGTTTTCATCTGTTCTGCGCATTTATATTCGCTTCTATGCACACTGCAATCTATGGCAATGAACATGCGCTTTTATGATAATTGTATTGCTAAAGATATATACCCAGTACATAGAAAGTTTCATGATTTTTAATTCTTGTTAGTTGCATTATATTTTGAAATACTTTCCTCTAGCTGATTCATTTTGTAACAAAAAATGAATAACAATTGTTAACCAGATTTGCACTCGAATGTACATATAACCATTTATCACATTAGAGATTATTGTTATCCATTTGTTTTTTCACACCATATACTTAGCCACGAAACCAAAAAAGATTGTAGACAGACTTCACACTTGTGATTAGAGCCAGTATTGGACAGTCCCAGTGCATGCGCAGTCAGCTATCCGTAGAAGTCCTCAGTAGCGTATACACATTGATGAAATATAAGGTATCATTAGGCCCTAATGAGGAAAAAAAATAAATCTGAAGAAAATTGCAGGAAAGAGAATAAAAGGGTTAAATAATACAACAGATTATATATAATAAAAGTAATATTAAATTTATTTATGATTATTATTATTTTTTACGTTTGCAGCCGATTTGTGATT